ACGTTTCCAACTGTCCTTAATGTGCCTGGATATTCCAAGAAATTAGATAGTGATTCCTTATATTTACATTTATATGTGAAAGAAACATTTAAATATATATCAAAAAATTGAAATACACGAAGCCTTCCATGTTAATTTCCTTAGTCCCAGCCCACTACATAATGAAAGTCAGGGAAATTGATAGGTATATAAGATACTTAACCTTTCACTTGTACACGTAGGAATTTTCATTCAGTTGTAAATATCGAGAAATTAATGCACTTGATCACACATGAAAGAATAAATTATGCTTTAAGATTGAGGGAGGCAATGTTGAATTTATTTGTCATTTTTGCAGCCAAATGTTGCAGGTTGTACTACGTTATAACCTTTATAACCTAAAACGATTGCTTACTTAAAACCTTAAATGTTTCCTTAGACACAATATCGCACTCGGGAAAATATAAAGAAATATATAATATAAAAAAAATCTTGTCCCACTCGTGAAATAAATTCCATATCCATCTACAAACCATCGAATTTTCTGTTTATTACATTTTCATTGATTTTCCCTTTGCCTCTGTCTTTTCTAAACACAGTGTCATAGGCTGTGACGTCATAGTTGAGCGGTTGAGATGCCATAGCTTAGCAATTCTGAGATTGAAAACATTGTAACATGGATTTTAGCAACAAATTTGGGAGGAATTGGCTGTTTTAGTCGCTATCAAGACGTTTTAGTGATGAAACAAGAATATCAACAGTCTCGTTTAAAGTCGTCATTTCGTAAGTTCTATGCTCGATACAATGACCTTGTCAGCAAATACAATCTATCATTAAGTCAAATGCTGACTGACTTTTTTCATACTATTTTTTAGGCCATTATTTACACACTGAATTGCCGACGGATTTTCCGTTATTTCCCGATCATGCATGGAGCACACGGCGGGTGTGGCCGGTCGGCAGGGGATGGCACCTGATCCCCCCTCTGAAGTTTTAGAGGTCCGTGTTTGCTCTGCTCTTACTTTGTAATGTTTAATGGACTTTTGAGCTCGAATACGGTTCGTTATCTCCACATATTTCATTACTATCTCTATCCTATGACAGACCAGAAATTATTTTTACTTACTTTGATATTCTTTCACACTGTTAAATAATATAACTTTTATTCAAAAAATAAATCACAGTATTTCACTGTTGAAAATGTCATGGCCATGGGATATATAGATTGCTATAGAAAACATAGCTACTATATACTTGTGCCCCCTCAACAAAAACGTCTGTTGACTTTTTATTTTTGGTTGTCAAGGAATTTTGGTAGTTGATAGTGCCCCCTCAACTGAAAACGTATGGCTGTGCCCCCCACCCCACCCCAAACTGAAATTGTTTCCTATGGGCCTGAATGTAATACCAATTTTTTCCCAATTGATTTATAAAGTAGAGTACGTATATGTTCTCTCAGTGCAAGATTTAATTGATGAGATATTATAATGTCTCGGCGTATAAAATATTTATTGAACATTGGTATCATGTGGCAGTTATTCCAACTCTCTGCTGCGCTCATTTATTCTGATAAAATTTATAGCTGTGTTTACATTCTAAGTATCATGCGATATAATAGCATCCTCTGCATGAAATATAGACAAACTGTAATATAATCAAGAGCAAAAACAATTGAAACAATACAAATCGAGAGCGAGCAATTACGGCCCAGGCATCTTAAAGCATCAGAGGTGGGATCAGGGCTTTAAGAGATACCAGATTTCACGGATTTCTGGATACCCCTTGACCACAAATTAAATGCTCCAATGAATATTGAAAAAATATGTTTTTTCTGAAAGATTTTTATTTTTCATCCATGAAATTACATCTGTAAAAATCCGTAGATTTTAGCAAATCCATGAAAATTGGTTTCTTTGATAACTGTGACAAATTCTTCTAAAATAGTTATCTTCCGATCCTTTTCATTGACTTGAAATAAACTTCGTACAAATAATGCATACATCAAGGTGCTTTTAAGAATTCTGTAAATTTCTACTTACAAAAATTCAAAAACTTATACATGGGAAGAAGAAAACACTTGCTTTGACCTTCAACTCGACATTCAGATATATCAACGACGTCTTATCAGTTAACAACAAGTAACAATTAGTAACTTCCATTCATATGTCGTCTCGATCATGTCGATATATCTTAGTGAACTTGAAATACAAGATACCAAAATGTCTGCCTTATCCGTTTCATATTTGGATGTTTTATTGACTTTAGACGATAAGGACCAACTAACAACTAAATTGTTGATAAATGAGACGACTCAGCTTTTCCATCGTCAACTTTTCTTATTTTTGTAGTAATATTCCGCTCTCATCTGCATATGGTGTTTATCTCCAGCTGATTCGATAGCCAAGAAAATGCTCTGAGTACGATCAATTTTTAAGCCGAGGCAGGCTACTGACAGATAAGTTAATGTTACAAGGATTTTAATCACCTCGTTTAAAGTCAGCATTTCGTAAATTCAATGGTCGTTATAATGACCTCGTTAACAAATATAATCTATCTTTGGGTCGTAATTGGGCTGAAGTGTTTCATTCCAATTGTTTCGCCTTTGTTTCATACAAATTTGACTACGGAATGTTCCGTCTACCTGGCCAATATATGTCGGGTTCACGGCGTATATGTGACCGAACAACAGGGGATGCTTATTCCTCCTAGGCACCTTATCCCATCTCTACAATTTCCAGTGTCCGTGTTTTACCATGTTCACAGGTTTGTATTGTTCGTAGGTGTTTTGAGATCGATCACTGTTATTTATCTTCACATTTTTCATTACATTCCAAAGGAAACTTTCTGCTTATCAGTATCTCAAACGAGTAGCGATAAGGATCATCATATAGAGGCAACTCTTGATTTTTGAGACATCTTTCCGTAAAAGCAAATTTTTAGTTTACCATACACTCGTGATCATGGATAATGAAAGGCAAAAGGAAATTCAAACTATCGTATTTATTCAGCAAAATGGATTACAAAAGATAAATATCAAATTCATACATTGGAAAAATACATCGTAATCAGACACATGTAGAATTTCCACTCGTTTTTCAATAATTCTATAAAAAAGCCATTCCACTGTAAGCTCTAGCACAGTATTACATTAATATAATGTTAATATCAATATTTTAGTCATCAGAGGGTGTGCCGTTTTAGTTGTCTGAAAACCAAAATTTCTGTTAATGTGAAATAATTATGTTTTTTATCTTTTGTAAATATTTAAAAAAAAAGAAAGATGTGTTTGTAAAACTGATGTCCCCATATGGCAGCTCATGGCAAAGGTTAAAGTTTCTCAATTCCAAGTCAAACTCCAAGGTCAAGGTCAATAGATCAACAATATTGGTATCCAAAGAAAGATCTTGTCAACGTAAAGTTCCAAAATTGTTGGTAACCCAGGGAAGGTCACAAGGAATTCAGATTTGAAATACGAAAGGCCTAACGCCAACTGTTCAAAAATTATCGCCAATCGCCAAGGTCAAGACCAAAGGGTCAAATCTTTTTTGGTACCCAATGAAAGGTCTTGTCAAAACGAATACACTTGTGTGATACGAAAGCCGTAGTAACCATCTAAAACATATGGTAAAGGTTATCGTTTTTAAAGTGGGTCAAGATCAAAGGTCAAGGTCAAAAATATTTCTACCCAAGTAAAGATCATATCACAAGAAATACCCATGTGAAGTATGAAAGCCCTAGCACCAACTGTTCAAATGTTATGGCCAAGGTTAAAGTTTGGTAAAATTTTGCAAAATATGGTCAAATTTCAAGGTCAAGAGGTCAAATACGTTGGTATCTGAAGGAAAAATTTGTCACAAGAAATACGCCCGTGAAATATGAAAGTCATAGCTCAAAAAACAAAAGTTATGGGCAAAGTTAATTTTTTTGAGAACAAATAGACAGACAGACGGACGGACAGTGCAAAACTATATGCCCCGAATCTTCTTTTTGCGGGGGCATATTACCTGAATCACAACATTCAACATACAGAAAATACATATCTACACTTGAAATAGTAAAAAAAAAAAAAAACTTTTATCAAATTAAAGAAAAAATGACCGTCTATGTCTATTTATTTGTAACATTTGTTGCGATTCTGTAGTTTCATATCCTGCATATAAATTATCTTCATTGACTTCCATGCTCTATTCAACCCTGTTTTTTAATAATTTAGTCAGTACAATTGAACCACTTGCAATGAAATAAATAATTGAAGGTTATTCTATTCTGTATAAATTTCATCCACAAACATACAACCACAATCAGACAAATTTTGAACAAAAAATTGCCTCTCTGCTTTGTTTGAATTCATCCACAAATAAAAATCATGTCAATATGAGAGCAATGATTTAAATTTCTCCAGTCCACTTGAACATACAAGGAATATATTTTATTTCCATGCAAAAAAATAAATGAATAAATAGATATATAAACAAATAATGATAATTTTAAAAACTAACTGCAAAGACAAATCACTCCACATTGTCAAAAAATCATTTAAGATGTTTATTTATCAATATTCATATTTAATTATTTAATCTTAGACTAAATGTTTAAAATCTTTTTAACACAATAATCTGTTTGGAGCACCATTATTGAACTCAAGATTGAGTATTGTTATTTCTTTAGTTGACAATAAACAACACTACCCACTATTCACCTCTATTTAAAAATGGAGTAGATTATAAAGTCGTCCTTCGCTATTATTATATTTGCCCTCACCTCTTTCAATACTTCCTTATAATAGACTCGATCAGGTCTTAGAAAAACTCAGTCGTGTCCAACACCCATTAAAATTTTCTATACCTACGTGAATCAAAGTAACATATATTTAAACAGTTGGCTGAAGCTGTTGGACTGAAACAACAACCTCTTATTTTTAAAAAAAAAAAAAAAAAAAGATAATATATAATTCATATTGACAATTCTGCATAGCGCAGAAGCTTACACTATAGCAATTAGTAGAACATGAAATATTTTCTCAATAGTTATTGTGGATATTTCCTTTTATTTCAAAGACTGTTACAGAATCATTTCCGCCTTATCATCATTGTTGTTTCGGAAATATGTGATCCATCAGAAAATGGAGGGTACCAAGGTTGTTTCCACTTTCCAGGTGGATACTGTCCGTTAAGGTAGGCATTAGAACAACTGTTAAACCACCACCCACCTATGCCCATGGCATCTGTACACTTCGATCCTGCAAGGTCATTGTCTTTGTCATATGTAGAAAATTTCATTCCGTTTATGTTGTCGGCTCCTGTCCCATACCTTATCCTATCGTCTGCAAAATTAATGCCAAATGAGGGTTTTTATATTAGGCATGTGTATTGATATATCGCTCCAAAAACTACAATCTGAAGGGCGTTTTCCAATCAGGCCCGTGGAACGCATGGGGGACGGGGAGGTTTTTTTGAGTATACAATTCTGCTAGGGGTAATTTTCATTTAGATGCTGGTCCCGCCAAATCTTTGGGGTTCTTTTTCCTGTAAGGTCGAGCACCAGCAAATTCCAGGATGTGGACAGGCAGTTTAGGTTTTTTAAATCTATTTTGCTTGTCAGATTTTTGGGGAAGTTGTCCCCCGACCCTTTTTTTGGACAGTCTAGTTTTTTTCTTTAATTGTCAGATTTTTTGGGAGGTTGGCTCTCCAACTTTTCAAACCGTTGCAACTGGCCTTCCTATTGACGTTTTTCTATTGTTTCACATGATAATTCAATATATATAAAATGACTTAGATTCTTGTTTCTGTCTTTACAATTCCCTGAACTATATTTGTCACGAGAAGAAAAATTTTAGCATGTTTGAGTTGTCGTTCCTACCGTACCTCAGGCTATCGTCTATAAAATTGATGTAAACAAAGGTGATTTTGATTCAATGTTCAATATTTTAGTCATTCTATTAATCATTCCTAATGTAAGAAATGTTTTGTTAACATACACACGTACATCTACATGTATACTTATAAATTAATTAAATTTGCTAATAAACGCCGAAATGCCAGCACTAGAGTTTACACATACTCTTTTAATTTTACAGTGTAAAAGATTATGTCCGTAAAATATAATTAGATTTCACTCGCATAGTAATTATTGTAAATTTAATTAAAAGTCTTCTTTCATATTTGATAAACAGCGGCCGTAAAATAGCAAAAAAGAAAGCACGGTTTTGGTTGCGGTTGGCGGATCTAAGTTACTGACAATATTTAATGAAACTGACAATAAGCAATCGTTTAATTATTTGATAAAACGTCATGAATGAATTATTCAATCAAAACCTCATTTAAGTGATATAAAAAGAATTAGTTGTCCAAGCGATTTTTTCATTTTAATTTGTAAGGAATAATTTAGAAAATACCCCTACAAACCTAACATTCCTGTTGCTTTTCCAGCAATATACAATCTGTAATCATCATTTTCTCCAGAAATAGAGAACGTGTCGTATTGTATAAAGAGGGTGGTGCCGTTCTTAAGAGTGATGCTCACATAAAGCGTACTGCTGTTTTTCTTTGTCAGCTGATGTATGATCTCATTTCCTGTAACAAATTTTAAAAACATTGAATTGAAGATCTTTTGATACACACACAAAAAAAAGATCAAATAGCAAAATAAGATATAAATTTAACGCATATGTGATGTTTTGGCTATTCCATAATGCCTAATAATGACCATAAAAAAGATATTTTAATGGAATACCCCTACACTCCCATATAGTAAACTCTTCTACTAGTATAATTGTAGTAGACACTGAGAGGCTGTGTCATTCCTGCTACAAGGAGCAGAGAGAGTTGGTGTTTCAACTTTCTACGTTCATAATTTTCAGGAGCCCATAATTGATTCAGTGGCCCCAATAGAACCTGTTTCAGTAGTGTGGTATATAAATCGGTTATTCATTTGGCCATGGTACTGACGATTTGTCAGGGAAGATCACAAAATCTGGGTTCAAGGGCCCGAAATAGAGCTGACCTGTCCTTAATTGTTACTTTCTCATCTATTTAAAATTACTTAAAATTAAATAAAGATATATTAACATTTCAGAAATTTAACTATGTAGTTTTACCAATCCAGTGGCTAGTTGACACATCTCCAAATCCGGCCTTATATTCTTGCCAACTTCTGTTGAAGTTCACCTTACCGTCGACTCTTTTCTGTATTACCTACACAGAATACATTATATATAAGTAGCTGTATAGTCTATGCTATATTGAATTAAAAAAAACGTAGATGAACATAGAAGATGACTCAACTAGACATTAAGATATATTGTCTACGCTGTCTCAATAAACAATATTATTTTTTATGCATAAGTTGATTCGATATATCCCACTGTAATCGAAATAAAAGACAACATAGAGCCTGACATATCTGTTTCATATTTGGATGCTCTATTAGAGAATTACATTAAATTTTATGATAAGCGTGATGACTTAAACTTCTCTATCGTTAATTTCCATTATTTGTGTAAAATTTAATATTATCACCTGCATATAGGGCTAATGTCTCCTAGTTGATTCGATACGCAAAATCATGTTCTATATACGAACGACTTCTAAAACAAGTCAGTCTACTAACAAATAAGTTGTTGATAAAAAGGTATCAACAATCTCGTTTAAGTAAACATTTCATAAATTCTATGATCGACACTATGATCGACACCATGACCTTGTTTGCAAATACAAATACTGATATCTTTCATATAAATTAAAAGACCATTATTTCATACGGAACTGTTTACGGATTTCTCCATTTACCCTATCATGACAAGGTGGCAGAGAGCGGATGCGACCGATCGACAGGGAATGACCACTCCTCCATGGCACTCAATTCAACCTCCAATGTTTTCAGAGGACCCTGTTTGCTCTATTTTCCATTTCTATTTTTTTAATCGGAATTTTGAGATTTATTTATTTTGCTTACTCAATATGCTTTCTGGATCCTTTTATTTCCTACATTTTATATCATTTTATTTCAAAACTATTTTTTCCTCTTCATCTAAAGTAATCTTAGAATTGTTTATTATATACTATTCTTTTTGCGCTTTGGATTGAGTTGATTTTCCATCTTCAATTACATTGGTTAATTTGATATTTTCCAATAGTTTTGATTTACTTTGCGTATAAGTGACAGTTCAAACGAAATAAACTTATGGTTTTACAATTAAATCAGTGAATATCCATGCATTACATAACAGCTGCATTTTGTGGCATGTAGATTTAAAATTTATTGATATTTACTTTATTGTAAAATGTATGAGTATGACAGCTCATTTTAATCATAAAGTTTATATTTTATTGTAGTTTTGCAGAAAAAAAGTTGTTCTAATATATGTCTTAGGGTTCAAAGTTCAATTTGTTACAGAACAATTTTCTTCTCTCATTAATGCATTTCGTATAAACGGAAACTTGTTGCCGTTTAGAACAATTTACACGTTTAAGAAAAACATGTAAAATTTGATTTTCTATAATTCATACTATGTACTTGTCCACAGGTTAACGCCTAAAAATTTCCATCAATAAAAAATATAACAAGACATTTACTGCTGTTAACTCCGCTTACCACATTAAATCATCTTATCTTATTTATTTCATTATCATAGTATCAGCACAGTGTATTTAATATTATAGTACATGTATCTGCAACGTTTATTTAATATCAGCACAGTTTATTTAATGTTACCATTTTCTCAGCACAGTTTATTTAATATTATCATAATACATATATCTGCAATGTTAATTTAATATTATCATGGTATCAGCACAGTTTATTTGATATTATCATGGTATCAGCACAGTTTATTTAATATTATCATGGTATCAGCACAGTTTAATCAATATTATCATAGTATCAGCACAGTTTAGTCAATATTATCATAGTATCAGCACAGTTTAATCAATATTATCATATATCAGCACAGTTTAATCAATATTATCATTGTATTAACACGGTTTAATCAATGTTATCATAGTATCAGCACAGTATAATTTTTACTTTTTTTTTTACTTACGGTCCATCCTCCTCCAGACGTTGACATATCACAATAGATTTCTACTGATTTGTTATGGAGTTCACCCCAGGGATTAATACTGTAGACACCTGATGTTCTGCTACCATTATCATGTAATGATTTGCAGTCGTCTGTTGATGAAATTATAGATTACATATCGTGTAGTAGTGAATGATTGATTGATTGATTGTATATTGTTTTACGTCCCATTCGAGAATTTTTCACTCATATAGAGACGTCATCATATACCGGTGAAGGGCTTCAAATTTTGACCTTTACTCGGCACTCAGGGCCATTGAGCAGTGAGGGATCTTTATCGTGCCAACGCCTGCCGTGACACGGGGCCTCGGTTTTTAAGGTCTCATCCGAAAGACCCGCAACTTTCACTCCAAAGTGCCGAGCGCATATCGAAGGAACAGTTGCTACCTATTTTTTATCGACTTAGGTCAGTCGCGGCCGAGATTCGAACTCACGACCTCCCGATCACGGAGCGAGCGCTCTACCGACTGAGCTACCGTGAACGGTAGTAGTGAATGATGGGAGGTAGTTTTCCTTACTTTTCCAATTAAGTGCTTATTAAGAAGATTTTTCTCCTTCGTTCGTCTAAGGATAAATAACACGACCATTTTTTTTAAATGTCTTCCAAAATTCAAATATCTGGGTCATAATTGATATCTCTTACTGAAGAGGTGAAAGCTGTTTATAGTTTAACAGCTTCGTTTTTGACCAAGCCACATAATTTGATGAAAAGTGTAAAATTGCAACTTACAATTTAGTATAACAGTCAACATAGATAAGATATTAGCTCATTTATTTTTTAACAAAGATAATAACCTCACACTACAAAACCAGGTAAAACAATCATGGCAAGATTCGCTTGAACTACAATCAAATTGCAGAAAATGCATGGGATACAAATTATTTATTTAAATGAAATTGCTTCAAATGAGTTGTAGAAAGTTAATGTACTATTTTACTTTCATTTATTTATCTATATTTTTATTTTGTTCTCATGTAACAAAACAGTTACTGACTATCTTTTCGGACAGCAATGAAAATGTTAGCCCCTCGGGACAAAAATATTACCTTACACTCAGCGTCGGGCAAAATTTCATCCCTTGGAGCTAACAATCAATGATGCCCTCAACCCCAGTCAATATTTGTATATTATAACATTTTATAGTGGTCATGAATTCGACGGTCTCTTCATGCTTAAGAAAACTTCAACAAAAATATGCGATTTCACAGTTCTGTGAAAGCGTTCAAAATTAATATATATCAAAACAAATGAAACGTAACTCAAAGAGCGACATTCTGGAAGCTTAATTGATGATTTTTATGCATAAAGACTATAGGATAAACCATTCAATTAAAAGAGAAAAATTGGATTTCCATTGTGTTCTTTGTAAAAAAAAAATTAAACGTACCAGGCAGATTACATGGTGAAGAATCGGAGGACTGTCCACTGCAAGCTTTTCCTCCAAACCTCGGCGTGGGATTGTCACATCTGCGTTTTCGTGTTCTATTTCCAAGTCCGCCTGTATCAGAACAATCTCCCCAAGAATTCCATTCACTCCATCCTCCATGAACTAAAAAAGAAGGAAATATTGTTAAACTCAATGCCCTAGGTGGTATCAACCTCAAAAGCTAAATACCATATTAAAACGTACGTATTTTAAAACAAAATGCATATTCACCATTTGCATAAAAAATAAGATAAAAAAATGAACTTAATAGTTAATACACATGAAATATATTGAATACATTGTTAATATTGATGTCCTGTTAAATCCATATATGATAGTTAAAGGTGAAGCAAATGGGTTTATTTTCCATCAAAATATAGCTACATTTTCCCCCCAAATAAACATACCTGCTACTTCCATGCATGCATATTTGTCTGATTTTGTGCGAACACATTTGGAGTATAAATTGCATGAAGTTTTACCACATTTCTTTTCTTTATAATCAACCTACAAACAGCAACACATGCGCATCAAAACACTAATCCCGCTGAATGTCGAGGAAAAAATAAAAATTCACAATTGCAAGATTAAAGAATAAACACAGTCATGAAATGTGCATTTTTAAAGCATATTAAACTATTGAACAGGGTTTGATAATGAATAATAAAGTCAATCTTTGATGTTGCATAAATGAAAATTAAAGTTACAAAAAGAATAGAAATGTTATTGGCATATATTTTGACACTTTTCGGTTTTTCCAAATAACGCTTCGTTTTGAAATAATAAGTTACAAATCACTCTATATATTTTTGATATGTATTACTAGTATCTCTTTGATAAAGATTGTCAAAAGAATATTTCAATTCGTACTATTCTTTTCCGTTGACTTTCATGATCAGAAATTCCGATTACAAAATATATTCTCATTGTATATCTACATGTCATTATCATCCCTGAAAGATTTTTGCAGCTAGAAATAATCAAATATCACAGATATACTTATAAAAAATGGCATAATTATCATAATTATAAGTACCTTGTTAATCAATTTAATGAAGATATGCACATTTGATAATTATAGATATAAACAAAAGGTGTGAATTATGTTTTTATACAATTATAGTCCTTCCTCTACCTGGATTTACCTGTATTTTACCAATGTATTTAAAAAAAAAAATGAAAGAGAATTTATTGAATATTTATGTCTCAATTCTGTCTTTTGTTTTCAAATTACAGATTAAAAACAGAGCAAATTAATGACTAATTAGTAAATAATTCTATAAAATAATTAAATCAAAGATAAAATAAAGTGTAATAAATCTTAATGTTTGTTTGTTTCATTGTTTAACGTCCCTCAAGAGCATTTTTCACTCATATGGAGACGCCACCACTTGCCGGTGGAGAGCTGCAAATTTTGACCTATACTCGGCACTCAGAGCCATTGAGCAGGGAGGGATCTTTTTCATGTGAGCACCTACTGCGACACGCGACCTCGTTTTATACGGTCTCATCCGAAGGACCGGTCTCTACGTCCCACAGTGGGACTGGAACCCGCGACGCAAGAATCAACTTTTTACTCCGCGACTCTAGAGCGAACGCTTTGACCACTGCGCTACGCGGGCGATATCAATTACATATGACTTTATTTCCAACCTCTTTCCCGGGTTTCACCTTTCCCTATTTACCAGGTAAATAATACAGGATAAAGTGATTAAATAATTATATTACCTGGACAAATTCCAGGATTGCACACATTTTTTCTATGCCTGAATTTCAAATGTGTGCAAAACGGGAAGAAACCATTTCTTGACAGATATTTGAAATGAAACAAATAAAACAAAATTCAGTTATTATGAAAATAATAAAGTTATTTGAAAAATACAGCCATACAATTCTTCGATTACACTACAAGTCACATAAATAAAATTATCGGTTACACCACGAGTTACATAAATAAAATTATCGGTTACATACAAGTACATAGCAAGGAAGAGTGAAAATTGTCAATCATCGTCGCAATCCACTGCAACAATGTACAACTCTTTCCCATTCTATCTGGGGTTGAATGAGAACATTTCGTATTTCATTTCATATTTATCAATGCAAGTAAACTAGTCGAAAACTGAACTTTGATCAATACTCAATCGCTGTTTACATAACTTGTATAATGCTGATTGCAAATGAAATTGGAACAGATATTTTCATTTGTTTAACATGACGTCATACATTAGATGAGTGGTTATTCAAGATTGCGATATTAATGAGATCAAGTACCACGGTGGGAGAGGACTTGAGACGATATCAATGTGCCATTCGAAATTAAAATTAAAATATTCCAATAATAATAATAAGTCAATCTGATCAATTTAGAGCATGTCATATGCAGGGAGATAATTTATGATGTCTCCTTCGTGCACAGGGTGACAACTGATGATGTTGAAATAACGTAAGCTAGCGTGCAGGGTGACAACTGCGTTTCCCTTTACATGAAAATAAAATGTTGTTAGCTAGATAACTCTTTTAAGAAATATGGTATCGTTTTAAAACATCTATCGGGATATAAATATGGGTTGGTCGCGTGATCAAATTCCATGAAGCCCACAGGGCTTTATTGTAAATTTGATTACGTACCAACCCGTATTTATCCTGATACATGTATTTGCATTTGTGACTTCTTTATGATATATATTTGTCTGAGAATAATCTTTAACGCATGAAATGTTTTATTTTTTCAAAACTCAACGGCACAAGTTGATCCATTGAATGCGCGTCAGTCCTTTATGACGTCACTGAGAAATTACGTCGAACATTTATGACGCGGGGAACCTGTTTTTATAAAGATATACAACTGTAGATACACGTTGCTTAAATAGCATTATATAAAAGAAAACATCTGCAAATGTAATTATATACAGGTTTGACTGATATTTCGACTTTTTTATGAAATTTAATTTCATCAGGATAATAAAACTACCATGGACTGTTAAAAAGGGAGACATCACAAATAATCAGGTCTGAGTGAGGTTGTAACCTTCGGGCGCAAGCGCCCTCTGATGACAACCCTACTCAGACCTGATTATTTGTGATGTCTCTCTTCTAGACAGTCCATAGATATATGTAATAAACAACATTCACAAACTGCTGTACAAGGTTATAAACGTTAAATTAAATATGTATTTAACTAGCGCTTCAAAGCAAACAGCTTAAGAGTATTACATAAACAATACTAGACCCTATCAGCAAGTGTAATCTGGTTTCCATATCATCTGCCTTAACGTTAAATGTCGCAGCTGCTTTAATGAAATATATGGAGATAACGAACAATAATCAAGCTCAAAAGTCCATTATACAATACAAAATAGGAGCAGAGCAAACACGGACCTCCAAACATCAGAGGTGGGATCAGGTGCCATGGAGGAGTGAGCATCCCCTGCCGACCGGTCACACCCGCCGTGTGCTCCTTGTCATGATCGGGAAATAACGGGAAAATCCGTCGACAATTCAAACAAGACAAAATAGACGGGTAACTGCATTGTAGAATAATGTAAAATGTTTCCATTATTATGGAAATCGTACATGTGGGGTCCAGTTTATTATTATTTTAAAAAAAAATCTAAATATCCCTTATGCTGCAGCCCTATAAAAATATACAAAAATTTTCAGCTTGTAATTTCATAACATGTATAGGTAAATAAGAATTTTCTAACCGACAAAGCGCATTAAATATGAATATGTGATCCTATACAGAATCTAATGGTATCCTAGGGGTGCATGTGTTTGTAGTGTAAAACGAAAAAAATTATATCCTTATATACGTAACTACTATATTTTAACACTACACATTTAAATCTAAAACATTACTAATTATTATTAAAATTAAAATGAATAAGCTTATTTTAGAAAAAAAAATCATGAGAAATTTAGTAAGATTATGCGATCTAGAAGCACAATTACATATTTTTGTTTAGTAAGGTCACCTAAAATACTTACAATATCCGGTATTTCTTTGTATAAAAAGTCACCATCATGAATTAAAGATAAACTGCTATTTTTCTTCTGACTGTTCAATTCACACAATAACATCCTTGGGCTGAAATTAATTGACAGACACATGGCATAGGCCTCGCATTCTCTAAAACACAACTGGAGCCCTATTTTGTTAAGCTGTGCGAAAGGAGAAACTGGTAATCTTTTACCAATTTCTTTATCATCGTTAAGTTTAGGACATCTATCGGTTGCCAAAACGCATTGAAATAAAAGAAATTCCGTCAAAAGATTTCTTAACTTAGATTCAACGGACATCATTAATCTTATCGGAGTTGTGAGTGATAGGAAAACTGCAACATAACCATGCAAGAATTATTTCAATATTTATACTCATTTGACAGTTTTACAATTCAAGTATCGGTAGACTTCTTGTTTGTTTGAAAGTAATAAATAAAAAATTAGAAATTCATTGTCATTTCTGAAATTTAATTTCATCCATCACATCGTTCCCTAATGTGCATGATAAATTAATTAATCAGTTAATATTTAAAAGAACATTAAAATTTTTGAAAGCAGCAAACTTTTTATTTAGCATAACTTGCAATTTACTAATGACATATAAAAATAATGCGACATATTCATCTATGATATATCCAAAACTTTTAACATGATTCAGACAATATATACCTCTCATGTCAATTATAAAAGGGACACAAAATCTTATTAATTATATTGTACTTTATTATCAGTAAAGTACTGGGAGTTAAGATATGTGATAATTTATCACATATCTTAACTCACTCCATGTTGTAGATATTCCGTATCCTATTCTTAACAGTAGGAGAGTAATCCATTTTTAATGTCCAAATTATCTGATGGCATTTAAATGTTTTGAAATAACTCTAGTAGTCTTGACAACATTCAGGATTTTTAAAAATAAAAATGTCATAGGAAACGTGGCATTTTGCTGTAAATTTAAGGAAGAAGATCGTTAATTGCTATTTTTGTGAAATTTGAGAACATCCTTTTCCATGCCTCTCTCTTCTTCATAATTATAATGCATTGTATCCTCTCAATGAATAATGAACTGATCATTACAACAAATTTAGGTGTCATTTTTCCAATGCTTATCAATATTAAAGGAGTCTGGCATTTTTGCTTCAAGCTTTGAACCAGTTATATCAACAATTTTAGGAAAAATACCCAGAAGTCATATTTTAGTAAAACATTGATTTTATAAATATTTATGTGAGATTTGAACCTTCTTTACAAACAATAATATGCTGAAAGTCTAAATGCTATCAGCAGATGCTATCAATAGACTTAATGGGATAAGTCGCGCTTTCTTAATTCGATGTGACTTGAATATTTTTGTTGTTTTCCGAAACACAAATGAGCGAATAAACTTCACTCTTAAAGGAAGTGTACTTCCGAATGAAATTCTTATGCATATAAAGAAAAATATAAGTTTATTCACCGTTTGGATCTCAAGGTATTTGCATCAAAATAATGCTTGTTAGTACTTATCATGTTATAAAAGATTTACACGAAGCTGTCAGTGCATAGTAAACAAAGTAGTGCAGGGCGTAATGTGTGCGCAAATAGTTACATCTGCCGGATGCCTCATGTGGAATAAACTGTGATCGAACTGAGAAACCGAACAAAAACATAAGGTCTTTCATTTGATACCTTAATTTAAGTACAATGTGTAGCCATACAGATCCTCTTTTGATAGTTCTTGACCACCTCTAATCTCAATGACCGTGTAGCTACAGTGTAAGGCGGTGCCGCGAAAATTTCATCGTCATCGAATTAAGTGCATAATTTTAAATGAGGTTAAGTTTATATACTCATAATGAACTGAAAATCTCATTACATAAATGTGAGGAAAGATTTGGGCGTCTTAGCACTTAAAGAAAATAAAATCTATGTGTAATAGATGTCTCCACGATCGTTTTTCATCCTGATCAGCAATGGTATATTCAAATTATGAAACATCTTTTTCAAGTCAATATAGACCTGTTGATGTTTTAATAGTAATTCAAAGTCATACAGTGATAATCAAGTGTATAATTGAAGAATAGCTGGGAATTTGTATTGAAATGAAATCTTGAACAATTCTTGTAGCCAGAAGAGTCAATACTTTCTCAGCCCGTAAAGCACACACTTTATAATGAGTAAAGCAAGTTATTTGAAACAAGAATCAAACAAATTACTTTTAAGCTACACATATTTTTGGCGCTTCAGCTTGAAATGTATGAATTGTGGAATATATATTTTCATTTGCACAGTTTTGGTAAGAAAAAAAAGGGAAAACGATTATCATCACATACGCTGGTAGGAAGTAAATATGCAATCTATACATTTCATCTTTAAGAATATTTCAACCAATGACCTTGAAACTTGAATGAAATATATAACAATTCAAGGGAAATATATCAAATACGTCCATTAATTGGTTAGAGAATAATCGTTACTGAGGGAATAAATGCGACATTTTTTATGAAAAGTGCCATGAAGATAACTGTAAAATAATTCATGAAAATTATCTATGAAAGTTATCTCTGCCACAATATTTTTTTTAAATTTACCTTTGCCTTTTTTTTTATATATTATTTTTTTTTTTATTATTATTATTATTTTTTTTGATTGATCGCAAAATTTCCATCACAGATAAAAGAATCAATTAGATTTAAGTCTAAGAGAAAACTATAGAATAACCTGATACAATTGCATACTTTAAACGTTGAATGTCATTTTCTAAATACATTTTTATAGAAGAAGCAGATGTCTACGATGTCAAAAAACCTGTTCTTCAGTTTGTTTTGACACATGAATAATTAATCAGATAAAATTCCCAGAATGTTAAAATATAATTATATCTCCTTTGATGTTTCATGTTATAAAATATTAAATATGGCATGATAAAATGATGATAAAATAACGATAGAATTACGGAAGAGAACGTACATGCTTTTCAAACATCTCTTGAAATAAACATTAGAGGTTTTAATAGTCAAACAAATTCATGTATTTTATAATTGGTTTATCAGGAAATTTTGTCCAAAGCTATATATAATAAATATGTTTCAAAGGCCTGTTTAAGTTTTTTAAATCTCTAATAATCAAATATTAGAGCTTTAACATTTGAATATGATTACATTGTACTAAGTTTTCGTTAATCAAATTAAAATACACTATAATTTCTCATCATTTTGGGTTATCCATTAAATTCATTTTTTATGAATTAACTTAACAATAGGTATTTAACCTACATGTAGTACATTTTGTTTTTGTGAAGTAAAAGCGAAATATTAAGCAATGAAGAAAAGTATTTGAAATATGCTTGCTCAGTAGAATATCAGTAATAAACTAGGGAGAAAATATAAGAAAAACGTGCAGGCAATTTTTCTTGATGTTTTTGCAGGTATTGTAAATATAAAAAATTAAAAGTCGTGCCGATAAATTCTTAAGTTCAAAAGTTATATTTTTTCTTAAAATTCAAAATAGAATTTTATCATAAAAATGGTCATGTGAATAATTTTGTCCTTTCTCCCAAATGTTTATCACAAAAGGCGAATAAAATGAAAATAAAAAAACAAATCGTACTTAAGGAAGATCCTACAATCAGCTATTTTACACGTTATCCCAATACAGTGCAGGTATCCATTTAAGTTGTATTTTAATTTTATACATAAACCTGTATTTGTTGTTCTAAATTCAATGAAATAAGTGAAGATAATGACCATCCAAAAAAATCCTACAAACAATACATATATCTGTGAAGAATGCATAAAACACGGACCTCTTGAAGTTCCAGTGGTTGGATCAAGTGCCTAGGAGGAGTAAGCATCCCCTGTCGACTGGTCACACCCACCGCGAGCCTTATGTATATATCAACTCAAATTAAGTATGAAAAGCCTAAATTTTAATATGAAATATGTAAGTCAAAATAAGCACCATTGATAGCTTGTATTTGATGAGAAGGTCATTATAACGGCTGTAGAATTTACAAAATGCTGACTTTAAACAAGGTTGTTGAAATTCCTTAATATCAACTTCAAGCTGCACAAATTCTTTTGAAAGATCTTATCAAATTAAAACAATCCTAAGGTAATAGAGCAGTGAGGGTAAGATGATGGAATCAGATGATGGTAGCCATTTTATTTAATGAAGTATAAAGACATTGACCAAAAACATACATAAAGAATAAATTAGAGAAAAATACAACTTACACTATAGTTTCATAAAATTTGACAATAAGTTACCGTTTAATGCAGCATAAATATATTAGGTAACAAAAATGTTCTGTAGCAAATGAACTTTGAACTTACATACAAATATAAGAAATTACTCAGACAACTTTAACTACAAAAATACAATAACGTATAAACTTTGCAATTAAAATAAAATGCCATACTAAAAACTTTTATAGTAAAGTAACAAATAAATAAATAAATTTGATAGTTACATACCACAAGATGCAGCTGATATACGCTGGATAGATATTTTCTGATGTAAATGTAATACTACCCAATTTTACTTAGTTTGAACGGTTACTTATACTCAAGGTAAATTAAAACTATTGGATAATATCAAATTAACCAATGAAATTGAAGACAGAAATCGACTCAATCCGATGCGCAAACGAATTATATTACAAAAATATTTAAGATTACTTTAAGATTACTTTACTATCATTGACTCAAATGCTGACTGACGTTTAATTTACTAATTGTTAGGCCATTATTTTTACACTGAACTGTCTATGGATTTTTCCGGGTTTTTTTTCGATCATGACAAGGAGCATGCCTTATTATTAATATTATTATGGTTATTCAGTATCAAATAAATTACAAAGCATATAATACAATTTATTAATAATATTATGAAAATAAAATATGACATGACAAAATTTGACACACACCCAGGCCCATTTGAATGAATTTATCGCCCCCCCCCCCCCCCCCCCCTTTATCATGTTTACACATGTAACATTGAAGACGGTTTTTAATTCTTACCAGTTTGTACAGCAAATGGCATATGTTTTGGCTTCAGCCATGTGTTCTTTGCACAAGAACATATATTGTATATATTGTATATATATTGTAGACGTTTTTCGTGATACTTGCTTTGGCCTTGCTTGTTCTAGGATGATCCTTCTATCCGCATTGCACATTATTTGCTGTCTCTCCAGTGAACAAAACGTCATTACGATGTTTTAAAGCGTAACGTTATGATAAAGGTTTTAACAAGTAGAGTCGATTACAATTTCCATTTCTACACACTGATACAACATAAAAGGTCTTATAGTGCAGGGGCTGTTTGCTATTTCAGGCTAGTTTGTTTTTTCTTTCTTACATTCAAAAATCTTTAAAATGAGTTTTCCCACTTTCATAGTGAAATGATGCTCCACAACTCCCTAGGTTAATAAAAAAAAAAAAAAAAGATCATACATGACCTTCTTTATTTCATGTTGATACTCCTGTCATTTTTTACCCAACAATAGTAGAGATTCCAACAAGGAGAGATAACAATTTAATTCCAGGACATTAGTAGCAGGGGGCTAAAATAAAGCAATGACAAGTTATATGAAGTACACGTATCTAAATCAGTTAATCCTATATATATATATATATATATATATATATATATATATATATATATATATATATATATATATATATATATATATATATATATATATATATAATTCAGAAGTAGTTAAAAGATGATGTCACACAGTAAAAATAATCATAAAAGAAAATGCACAGTTTCCAAATTTCATTTAACACAAGCGCTTTCTGGATTTAACAATCCTTCTTCAGGTGTACATACTTTGAACTGTTCAAAGTATGTTCACCTGAAGAAGGATTGTTCAATCCAGAAAGCGCTTGTGTTAAATGAAATTTGGAAACTGTGCATTTTCTATTTCTTTTATGATTTTATATATATATATATATATATATATATATATATATATATATATATATATATATATATATATATATATATATATATATATAATTTAGAAAAATCCTCATTTTTTTCATTTAGATATTAAAGAAATAGTCTATAAATATGATAATAGACTATTATTAATGATATGTGAAATTGTAGTGAGTATGGTACTTCAAGGTTGATTTATAACATGTAGGTATTATTTCCCAAGCTCAATATTTTAAGAACAGTTCTTTGTAAAAATCATGCAAAATAGGCATGTAGGTGATATATGAGGGTTCTCAGAATTTGATGATTTTCGACACATAGTTTTCTTTTGCCCTACGAACCATGTATGCAAAAAGAAAAATGTTTTGATTCACGGTTACCATGGAAACATGGGTAAAGAAATTTCCCTAGCAACCAGCCAATTTTCAGCTTCGATGGACGAAAAATCTTTTATATTTCAGGCTCAAATTAAACGTTTTTTTGTTTGTATGTTGTTTAACGTCCCTTTCGAGAATTATTCACTCATATGGAGACGCCACCACTTGCCAGTGGAGAGCTGCAAATTTTGTCCTATGCTCGGCACTTACGGCCATTGAGCAATGAGGGATCTTTTTCGTGCCAACACCTACTGCGACACGAGACCTCAGTTTATACGGTCTCATCCGAAGGACCGGTCTCCACGTCCCACAGTGGGATTCGAACCCGCGACGTAAGGATTAACTCCTTACCTTGCGACTCTACAGCAGACGCTCTAACCACTGCGCCACTCGGGCGACCAAATTAAACGTAAATACTAAAATAATTTCTTTTTCATTGCTGTTATTCTCAAGATAATGATCTTAACAGTTTTTACAAATGAAAATATAGAAATAAGATTTAAAGGTATATCTGTGATAGATGTGGGATCATTCATGTGGATATTCACACCCTTTTCTACAGCCTGGTGCAATGCAGCAAGGATTCCAGAGGCATCTGAAGATTGAACAGCAACTATGTCTATTTGTCTACATACAGGAACTCCAGAATATGGCTGAACATACCTAATAAATAATTACAGAATAAAAGAATAATGAATTGATGCAGACTTTTTATATTACCAATTTTTTATTCCATGCAATTTTTTTTGAATTATTTTGCCATACAATTCCTTAATCCCACTGACAAGAACAGTTTATCATCTGAAAATACTCATACTGAAACACTTACCGCAAGTACACAATTTCCTGTTCCATTACAGCAGCATCAGTTGAACCATCTGCCAGAATACTAACACAGTTTGTCTTCAGAATTTCAGCCTGAATTTTCTCTCGATATGTTTGACTTATGGCTTCAACAAAACTTTCACAAGCATGAATGTTATTATACTGGCCACCCAAATCCAAACCATTCAACATATTCAGTTCATACAAATAGAGATAATCAGTAAAGGGTTTTCCATTCTTTGCAACTGCATAAGCTGTGTTAAAAAGTATGGTCATCTTTTTCTTTTCTTCCTCTGATAATCTGTACATTGCTTTGCCAATTTCTGTGCTTGAAACGGTAGTTAACAGTTTTTCTTTGTATTTATCAACAGCACCACTACTACAGGGTTCACTTGAATTTCTTAGTTCGAGCCGATTGTTATTTTGGTCACCAGTTTTACTTTTTGTAAAATAGCGTCTGCTTGCAACAAAATGTTCACTAATGTTCACTTTATCATGAGAAATCAATGAATCAATTCTAAAATTATTGGTTCCCTTGAATAAAGCACATGCTTTGTTTGCACATTCAGGAAAGGTCCTACAGTAACTACAATACATCAAGTCACCGTTATCAGTATCACTTGTAGATTGAGACTGGACTTCCAGTTCCACCCACGGGAATCTTTCTCTCCAACTCTCTTGAAACTTTCTTTTTCTTTTGGTATGATCATACTTTTCATCTTTATTAATACTTCCGTTATCTGACTCACTACTGACCTTTTTCCTCTTATTCACGTCAGAACTTTTGGTAAATGCGAACAACGTTGTTTGCTTACTCATTTTTTGATCAATGTGATTAAAATGCTTTATCGCATTAATTTATTTGCTTGCTTTCAAACGCTTTGGTGATAAAAACAAATTAAACTAGTTCTCAGTCAAAAGAAACCAGTCTCCAAATTAAGAAAACGAAAGTAAACTGACGAGATTTTTTCCCGGTCTGCTAGTCCGACGAACTATCGTTACTTATAAATTAACTAGCCCGAGTCTTAAAATGACTAGCCCCGGGCGTCGGACTACCGTATATTTCAACCCCTGTAAAAAATCTTTTGTTCCTTAAACTTTAATATCCCAGAAAGGAATTAACGCAGTTAATATATGTAACATTCTTGAGCTCAAAAGGGTCCAGTCTTGTATTCCACATTATTTCAAGTTTAAGTACACAACTTGTATTACTTACAAAAATACATCGACTATTGCTTTTAATTACAAAAAATCTACAGTGCCTAGATATCAAACATCTGAAACATAATCCTCCCACGTGTTCATGTTCTTCACCCTACAACTATAGTCCGACTGAACACGTCATTATTGGTGGCGTAAATATAGTTAATAATGAGGACCTTAAATTACTTATTTTAAAAAGGCCAAAATTTAGGAAACTCCGATCTTTCAAATGGCGCAATAATTTGGTGTCATAATTTCATAAATATTATGAATTCTGTGGAAGATTATGCCAGGCGATGGGCCAAACATGAAAAAGAAGACCTTGACACTTTGTGAATGAATGATATGAAAACCATCTATCGTTCTGTTTTTGATAATTCAGAAGTGAAAAAAGAACTAGATAGATTACACAATCAGTGTGTACTGGTCCCAGCTGACAAAGCAGGTAACAACATTGTCTTTGTTTGTCAGACTCATTATTTTAATTGTATTTTAGAGGAACTGGGATTTAAATATGCTAGCGGTCATCCAACATACCCATAGCTCCAGGCTTTTTGACATCATGCTTTTTTTCAATAAAAATGGAGCTCATAGATTTGCATACCCCTTGTCATTGGTCATTTGCAAAATTATTTTGTTAAAAAAACATTCTGATTGTAACCCAAGTACTCTGAAGTTGATATTAAAAAATGCTTGAGTTTTTATATAAAATAATATAGATATATAATACAATATATTATCTATGTAGTTTTTGAAGATCAGGTCTTCGAACAATCTGTCCATATGGAGAAATGATGTACAGTTTATTCATGAGGTTGCTCCCACGTGATTTACTTCTCATTAATATTCATAAGATCCTGCATAAACTCGAAATATTCCATTTATTTAAAGTTTTGTATTAAAACCTGCAAGCACAGATTGTTTTTTTTTTTCAAGCCTCCGTCATAGTTATTTGGGCAGAATTTTGGGTTATTAACAGTTGACAACTCATGAAACCATCTTTTTTGGTAATAAGTAGGTCACACTGATGCAAGAAATTGCCGTTTTCAAATTAAAAAGGCGGTCGTAACTCTTCATGTAATGATAAATCGTCTGTATTTTATAAAAATAGGCATTCATCTGCACCTATTATTCGGCGGAAGAACTCTGTCAACTTGCAATAAACACTTACATTTAATCACCAAAAATGATAAAGACACCAATTCTGCACTCTTTCCTTCATTAAAACATTATACTCTCGCTTCGGAATTTCAAATCAAAAAGGCGGTCGCAACTTTCACTTTGGTATCAACAATATTGTCATTTCCGGTAGAAGATATTAAGAAAAATCTAAACATCGGCGGAAGAACTTTATCCGAAATAGTTAGTATATAAAAATCTACGGGTTTTTGTTCGTTCTTTATATAAACCTTTATGGAATCTGTCGCCATTATAGCTCCAATATGGCCGATATGTAAATTAGAAGAATGAACACCATTTCTCCATATGCGGAATTTGCATAGAAACCAATTGTGTCCCTTTATTAACAGATTTATTTTGTATTCATATGAAGCAGAATTTATTCAAAAACTTCTACAGATGTTTTTCCAGATCATGACAAGTACACGGCGGGTGTGACCGGTCGGCCGGGGGATGCTTATTTCTCCATGGCACCTATTCCCACCTCTGATGTTTTAGAGGTCCGAGTTTGTTCTGCTCCCGATTTGTATTGTTTCAATGGACTTTGAAATTGATTACTTATCGTTATCTCCGTATTTAACTGTAGACGATAAGATCCAACTAGCGACTAAACTATATGACAAAAGAGATGACATAAGCTTTCCCATCGTCAACTTTCTTATCTTTGTAGTAATCTTCACTATCACCTACATATGGTGTTTATGTCTCTCAATGTATTCGATACTCAAAGGCATGCTCTGAGTACCATCAATTTTAAACCGAGGCAGGCTGCTGACAAAAAAGTATATGTTACAGGGATTTCAACAACCTCATTTAAAGTCAGCATTTCGTAAATGATATGGTCCTTATAACGACATTGTTAGCAAATACAACATATCATTGGGAGTATTTTAATTGACACATTTCATACCATTCGTTAGGTCTTTGTTTTTAAACTAAATTTGACTATTGATTACTCCCTCTACCTGATCAATACATAGAGCTCCCGACGGGTGTGACCGGTCGACAGGGGATGCTTATTCCTCCTAGGCACCTGATCTCACCTCTGGAATTTTTAGGGAATTGTATTGTTGGTAGGTTTTCTGAGATTGATCACTGTTCGTTTCCTTATATTCTCCTATTTCATTGTAAGCTATTCAAAATTATTTTTAAACAGTACGTCAAAGCCACTTGATTCATACAACATCATTCAAATAATGTAAAGCACTGTTAATGCTAGTTTTATAATTTTACCATACAAAAGGAGCTTGCACTGTTGTTATGAGTAATATTTTTACACTTGTTATTAAAAAGAAATAAAATATTTTTTCTAAAAAATTCTTTGTGGACTTTTAGTTCTGCTTCAAGGATTGTCACTAAATCATTTTTCTCTTTATCATCATCCTTGTACGGGAAATGTATGATCCATCCTTAAATGGAGGATCCCAAGGTTGTTTCCACTTCTCTAGTGCATACGGTCCGTTTAAGTATGCGTCGTTGCAATTGTTAAACCACCATCCACCTATACCCATGCTATCTGTACACTTTGATCCTGAAACAGGGTCATTGTCTTTGTCATATGTAGAAAATTTCATCCCGTTTATATTGTCGGTCGAACCGTACCTTATTCTATCTTCTGTAAATAGATAAAAATAAAAGTGTTTTTATACTGTTTTGAATAATAAAAAGTCTATATAATTTTATTGCCTGAATGACGTCTTTCTATTGTTTACTCATAAAATATAGCAATAAAAATGAAAAAATCGCTTTCAAAGAAATATTATATAATATATAGTTGCATATCTACAAATATATCACCTCTCCAGCTTACTACACGATTCATGGTTTGAAATCAAATTTTAATACTGAGGTACTATTTATGGAAATTCCTAAAGTCCGTTTATCCAGAAGTTTGTCCATTGTTTTTTACGTCCCTTTCGAGAATTTTTCACTCACATAGAGACGCCACCACTTGCCGATGGAGGGCTGCAAATTTAGTCCTATACTCGGGACTGAGGGCCATTGAACAGTTAGGGATCTTTTTCGTTCCAGCACCTACTGCGACAGTTTATACGACCTCAGTTTATACGGTCTCATCCGAAAAACTGATCTCCACGTCCCGCAGTGGGATTCGAACCCGCGACGTAAGGATGAACTCCTTACTCCGCGACTCTAGAGCAAACGGTTTAACCACTTATCCAGAAGTAAGTCTATGAATACTCACTTAAATTTTGGCCAGTGGTAATTCAGATATTTAAAGGCAAGACTTAGTTTGAAAATTTAAGCCATTCTCTACATTTGCATTTGAACTTTTGAGAAATAATAGAAAAAAGAAGTTTGGATACAAACCTAACGTCCCTTTTGCATTCCCGGCTATATACAATCTGTAATCATCTTCCTCTCCAGATATGGAGAACGTGTCATACTGAATAAAAAGGGTGTTACCGTTTTTGCCTGTAATGCTCACATGAAGTGAACTGCTGTTCGCCTTTGTCAGGTGATGTATGATGTCATTTCCTGCAGCAAATTTTATTCATTTAAGGAAAATTAAAACTTAAAGATATTCTGATCAAAATAAAATAGAATTTTCGGCTATATGTTCACAAAATATTATGGTTACGATAAATATCTAAATTAAATGTCAATTACATGATTTTTCAGGAAATGCGAGGCAATTGATTTATTGTAAAGTAAGACTAAGCTGAGTGCACAACTGCACACTGTCTTTATTGACTATTTATATCATAACTATGATCATAGTCTGTCCCACTGTACCAAGGACCTCACTTTATCTCATATCATCATATCTGAAAATATATAAATATCTTGGTCTTCAAACTAGGTTCGATCGATAGATCATTTTTCCCCAAACGTCCTGCATTTAAACGAACCCTCGAGTTCAGCCGGTGTTTTGACAATTAAGGCAAATTCAAAGTCTACGGGGATTAAACACTGCCAAAATGGCTGCCACTTCGTAAGGGGATCCTTCATTATTCGTGATTTTCCGTACATCGCCGTCATTGACGTAATGATGTAACTCATGTTCTGGAATGCTCTGTGCTTACCGACGTCTGGAACGCAAGTTACAACCCGAGAGTTACCAAGTTCTCAATACAAACAGATTTATCAATGGAAAAAATTGCAGAAAAGCGTCTTCGACATGCCCGGGATAAAAAGATTTTATATGCTGACAGTGCGACCGTTAAGGCGAGCGCATATACCTTTTCAATTTTAATTCGAGCTCTTCAAACCGCAGGTGACATTTGGAACGTCTAGACTCTAACGTCATATGACGACTGAACAGTGTTGATTTTAATAAAGAACCTTTAATCTACTATTTATCTGCTATATATCCATTAAATCAAGGCGATTTTATTTTTTTCTGTGAACTTCTTGTTACAGCGAGAAGGTACAAGCAATTCGCTAAGGAATGTGGGTCCAGAGGTTACTGCGGGAAAATCATTTGGATCAATGTGCAAAATCCGAATTTTCTCTTCGCCCAGGAGTTGTCGTTAGAGTTCGCAATGACAAGCGGCGTCGCTCGCTGCACTCGCTATTACAAGACCCATCATGACTGACATGAGTAATCTGTAATGTAAAGAAAGATCGAGGCTATACAAAAAAAATTCAACCAAGTGGCATCACTGCTTTACCAACACATAGGTCTATATGTAAGCGAGTAAAAGTATGTTCTAATAATTTAGATTTGTAATTAATTATAACCTTTGCAAATAAATTCAACACACTTAAAAGTATCTATTATACTATATTTTGTATATATCACTTCTATCATGAATCCACAATGCTTCCTGGCTTTGTTACATTTATAACTCTAAAAACACACATCCACGTTTATGCATTTTGAAACGTAGTGCAAAAATAAGATCTGTTGTCTGCATCAAACTACGTCATCAATGAATTTTGACCTTGCCCTTTGAAAACTTCCTGTATTGGCATTAGGTAAATGCGGGCCCTGTGATTTCAAACACTTCTATATTTTTAATAGTTTTCCATACATATACATGTATGTAGCAGTTTTAATGCCAAATATAAAATACGAAGATAGTAATCACACAAACCTCAGTAGAGAATGGAATAAATTATTATTTTTGATTTATTATGTTTATTTGTATACTTTATATTTTTTACTTTAAAAAATAACAACTTTTATGGCAGAAATTTTAATGATTTTACTAATTAAAAAATCTTTTCAGACCAGGAGTTAATCTCCATTTGCAAGTAAGTCAAAGCCCTCTAATTATTTTTTTTTTATTCTTTTTAAATATAACAATGAAAAATTAGAATGAAAGTAATAGATAAAACTAAATTAAGCATTTTTTTCTAAAATAATTTGATTATTAGGAAACAGAGCAGCCGATGAAGACATCAGGCAGACAAGAGCAGGGAAACATGCAGTACATTAAATTAATTCAGACTTTAGTAGCTGCAGAAACATGTGTACGTTGGCTTTCTAATTTTTTTAATTGTCTACTGTCATCTGTGAAATCATTTTTAATTTGTGGGGTCACGCCCATGGGAAGAAATCTTAGTTGGGGGGACCAAAAATTTTTAGTTTGGGCTTGTCAAGCGGAATTCTTTTATTTTTTAAAGTCATCAGACGTATTTAAATTTTTAATATTAATTACAGTCAAACCTTGTTGTCAAACCTCATTATCTCGAATTCGTTGGGACTGAAAAACCTAAAGATACATTGTAACCAAGTAGTCAAAATATCAAGGGTAAAATACTTCAAGAATATTGAAGTGGTTAGGACTTCCAAATCACTTCGGCATATCCATGGTATTAGAGATATCAGTGTTCGAGATTCCGAAGTTCAATTGTAACATAATTTACAACTTCTTTGCAAATTAAATTCATACTGTGAAGATTGTTATAAAATTTTGATTACAACTTGTAAAAATATCAAATCTTAAATTACTTAAATCTTAGTGAAATTACAGGGTAAAACTACTCAACATACTACGTTATTTGTAATTTTGTTTGAACTGTTTCCAGTGTTTTAAGTAAATTAACAAAAATATTCCAAGAGGTTAATGAATTGTCCATCTTATATTTATTTAGATTATCTTAGATATTCAGAGTGAAGAACAAATGAAAGTAAAATGCTCAGTGCTGCTCTTGTCCATGGTTTGAATGTCTCTTGGTGCAAAAAAAAAATCATGTTTCATATCGACATAATAAACATGAAGCCGAGGAGAGAAACATCTGTGAATGGAATGGAGAGTGAGTATTTTTCTTCCCATTTCATCACTAACACTTCAATTTGTGTCTGGCTCATCAAGTGATCACTGGGCAAATTACTTGGTAATCTTTGGTTTAGCAATACTGTGACAGATGTAGTGACAGCGATATTATAATCACGATGTTTTAACTTTTAACTATATCACTTGAATACATTTTTTTTTCTATAAATTGTGTTTTGATATGACCCCCCATTGCTGTCAGACGATGTGCATTGCAAAATACAAGTTATTTTCTTTGCTATTTAAAACTTTAATGCTGATATGATGGTGAACTAATTGTTATCTATAATTTCCTATATTGTTTACGTGATCGCATAATTAAAACGGTGTTTATTTAGCTATTATTCGGTAAATATTGTTACCTGGTTATGTTTTCGCCGCATGGACGTCGCGCACGATGTTGGTGTCAATTTCGGTAACGTCAAAATGACGTTAGATTACGTGACGTTAGAAAATTAATGTGACGTTACTTTTTTGACCTACATTTTCTTTGAAAGAAAAAATATAAAACCTAGTATGTTGTCAAATATACAATGCAGTTCATTGAAAATAATTAAATTATCTGCTATTTTGCATGCTTATTGTGGGAGGGAAATATGTATTATGTGCATAATTTGCCTTATTTAATGAAAAGCTCGGTAGAAATTACAAAATTCATTTGACATCATATTTAAATTTATCTGCTTTCTATTTCATTGAGAAACATTCAAAACAATTCCATGTCATATCAGCAGGCCCTAGTACCAGCCCTCTGTTTTCAGTATAGTGTAGATATGTTGCTGATTTAGCATTGAATTTTTTTTTTTCATTCAAAGCCCCTATTCCCACCTCACCTTTAACCCCCGCCCTCGCATAGACACTTACATATTGAGTATATCTATTTGTTACAGTAGATCTAACTATTTCAAATAATTCATTAAAATAAAGGAGAGGAAACAAAACCGATCGAACCCCCCCCCCCCAACTTTATCAATGAAAAGGATTTTTCGATGTGGGGGAGTTTTGGAGGTTTTGTATTCATTTAAATAAATATTTAATTTTTTTTCCTTACCCCCCCTTTTTTTATATGTGTAGCAACGTGCCTCACAGATCTGGATAATGATCGTAGGTTCGTACTCCTTTGGATACAGTTTACCCGTTTTATGCGTTTGCATACTTTTTTTTGTCATGCTCATAAATTTTAGCAAAGAGTGTTTCGGAGACCGTTTTGTACATACTTTCATCAAGATTCAGATTTGAATCTTTAAACCAAACCTGTAAGTCATGAAGGATAAGACTTTGAACATATTTTTCGGCTCATTTCATATTAGAAGCTTATAAAAAAAAAAAAACTCAGGAATTTTTATTATTATAAATTTAGAACAGGTTACTTTAAGATTTTCAAAAATATTTTATTAACTTTGTCAAATTTCTGCATTTTAATTTCAAGAATGAAAGAATTAAAAATATTAATCGACCAGCTCATTTCAAATTCCTTAAGCGTGTTTTATACCAGTTGGCCCTCTCACTTTTTTGGTCAGTATAGGGTTTTTTTTCGTGCTTGTCAGATTTTTTGGGAAGTCCCCCCTCCACTTTTGAAACCGGGTCTATTAATAGGAGGTGTAACAATATCCCGAGATATGGTAATGCTTTTCGCTTGAAGTCGATTATCGATTATCTGAAATACTTTTTTTTATACGAATGAAAAACGATTAAAAGAATCTACGTCATTTCCTGCTTTACAAAATTTAATTCGTTTCTTTTTGTGTATTCTTATTCTGTATTTGTACGAGTAGATTGCAGAATACATTTACCGGTACACCTGCCAATAATGAAATGAAATTTATGAAAAGGTATATGTTTTAAAAACTTTTTTATAGAACAAAATTGGAAAGTTATACGTATCAATACACATCATGATAAACATGTCAAAATATTGATATATGTATGATAGTTTGTTGTTGTTTTTTTGTTTTTGTTTTTTGTTTTTTATTATATCTTGTTTACACCTTTTACATCCAATCCGTGGATAAATTATAATGAGGTCCATTCGGCAAACCTCTGATGATTCCGTCTTTCATCAAACTATTAAATTATCAAATTAGATGAGGTACATGTACGAATCGGCCAAGGTGTGCCAAGTGTGATGAGATCTTTGGGTCCGTTCCTGGGTTTCTGGAAATGTTGTACAGGGGATTGTATAGAGAGAGTATCCTTTCCCTAAACTAGACTTTGCTTATATAAATGGTTACCATTTTGGTCGGTTTAGATGCATTTGGAAGCATTTTTTTTTTAATTTCAAAGAAAAATATGAAGCATTACTAAAATAGATAAATAATGAAAAGATGAAAAAAGGAAGGACCAGTCATATATATCCAAATATTATCATTATTGAGTTCAAATGAAAAACAAAAGATCTGTAATTAAAAGAAATAGCGTAATATACCTCGATCTCGTCTTATTTTGTTTCCATGACATCCGCCATTTTGAATGTTGTTTGCATACCTATTTTTGTTCACGGTATCATAATAAAATACTATTTTGTTTTATTTCAAATGCTACCGGGTTGATGACAAAAAGAAATAATTATCAATATTCAAGTGAAAATTTGAAATTTAAGTCAAATCACAACCACGGATTAATCCCCCACCCCAACCCTTAAGTAATGGATAAATAACGAGATGGTGTTGTATAGTTTAGAGAAAACATTCCCTCCGAGGGCCGAAGGCCCGAGGAGGGGATGTTTTCTCTAAACTATTCAACACTATCGAGTTATTTATCTTACTTAAAAAACTTCCCTACTGTGGACCCCAAAGAAACATTTACCCATTCATATATCCAACTTTGCTGTAATACAATGGGATCTAGCCCATTTAGATATCCAACAGTGACACAATACAATAGCCTAATCGAACACCCCTAATCGAACACATGGACTAGTGAGCATGAAACTGAATGGTGTTAATGTCATTTCAAAGCTTTCCATTGTACTGAACAGTCATGAAATCAGATGAAGAATAGTTTTGAATCCAAAGTAAAATTAGAGCGGTTCAGATAGTGTTCTGAACACTTTTGACCTGAAAACAGAAGAAAACTACAGAATTTTGATAAAAGGTTGGAAATCTATTTTTGATACCTTTTTTATTGCAGATCTTGATATGGAATATTTTTAAAGCAGGTTCCGCATAACACCGACAATCTTTTCATCTGTTTTAGCACTACTAGAAGTATTGTCCGAGTGGAACTCCATAAGATTCAAACATTTTCCCCCAACAAATCATCATCATATATGTAATGATAGATGGGCTGTCAATTTATTAAATTGTTTTGGGAAGTATACTGGAAAGTATGAGAACAGAGATGAACCTCGAATAATCTGAGAGGATTTGCTGATAACGGACCCCTGAAATCATATTCAGCAACAGGAAGTGATGTGGTTTAAGGTTCAAGGTGAAAATGTATTTAAAAGCGTGTCAAAATGCGATACTTTCAAAATTTAAGACCGGAAACATTCTGTTAAAAAAACATGGATAAGTATTGGATATTTTATTGACGACAAGAGTCTAACAGTGTGCAAATTCGGAGGAATTGTAATTTTTGTGAGCATTGGAAGTACATTTTTAACACGATTCTAATGGTGTGATAAATGCAAAGTGATTAATCCTGTGTGCATTGGACAAATTCTAATAGTGTGACAAATTCGGAGTAATTGTTTTTTATTTGCATTGGAAATACATTTTAAACTCTTTTATCTCTTTTTTCATTGCTTAATTATGTTTGTATGCACAGTTGGATATTTAAATATCCAACCGATGGGTAGTTGGATATTTGAATATCCAACTGATGGCCACTGGCCAGTTGGATCTTTCAATATCCAACTAGTGCTGGTTGAATCGGTAAGATATACGTAGACTAATAACAATGGGTGACGTCATTGAAGTTTTTTAATCAATATTCGACTACCCAATGTAAAAAGCCTTCCAATGCCCCATGTACATGTAGTACGGTTTGCAAGCAGCAAATAGACTTGACACACTTTATTGTCAGGAAATCCATATTTGAAATCGCTATCCTTATATAAATTTTTGTGTATGTGCTTTTTTTTCTCTTTTCTAAAATTCAAACTGCGAGTGATGAGTACTTTTGGACAGATTCTGACAAGGATATACACTGATACAGTGTATACACTGTACATGTTTTGCTTCTATATATAAATACACCTGACATAACTTTAAATTGTTCATAAAATTAATCATTATTGGTACATTTTTATTTCGTCCATATCAGCAAAAAGAGTAAGTTTTTGGATAAAATCATTAAATGTTTTAAATGGTATTTTACGCAAGTGCACGTAATAACGTCAAAAACGCCTTATTTTTACCTCTGTGACATAGCATGTTGACATTTATTTTTTGTTAGGATTTTGTCACCATTCTATTGATATTAATTTGGAATATACTAATAACTTTTTGAAGAGATGCACATTTGAAAAAAAAATCGTTTAATTTTCAATATGTCTATATTTAATGACTACATATATGATTTATCCAACCACAGTTGTGCCATGGTTATTAGATTTATTAGTTTTGGACAATGTGTGACATTCAATGTTGACATCGCAGATAGCCTCTAAAACATACACTTCTATCAAGAATCAATTCAATTTTATATCTCATTGAAGTTTTGATTTTGCACATGTTGTATTTAATTAATGATTTATGGTGCCAAATTAGAAAAAAATAAATCTAAAAATGAAAGCAATTTATTGAGTGTCGTATTTAGATGTGACGTTTTTGCCGTCAAATTTCATTGTGACACATAGCTACATGTTGTACATATATGTGACACGGCAATTACTCTTAATATTTACGACATCCCAAATTAAAATTCTGTATAGATATGTTTTTCTTAATAACATGACAACGTTTTTGTAGAATTTAAAAAATATTTCAACAATGATTTTTCACTCAGTATTACAAAATTAGCCATTCTACGAATCTTAAAAACTTTGTGACACTGAACGTCCAAACTTTGTGACACACTATCTTATTCAATATCCTTCCAATGAATCTTCTAAATATCAGGTACCCAACATACATATGAACACACAATATCATTCTATTCTTAAAAATAGTTCTTTACACACCAAAAGGATTATCGAGATGTAATTTCAAAATTTATTTAGCTTATTTAATATTTTTCTAAGAACCCAAAGGCATTTCATGTTCATTCCATATTTCTTCGGTTAATGCTGATCTACATCTCTGTTTTACATTCACAGCATACAGATTAAATGTCATCACAATTGTAAGAATTTACATCATTTACATCATATTTTGAATTTTTCTGCTAAATTTTATGTTTGTATTGTTTGTTTTATGGAAGTTATCAACATTTTGTTATTGCATGTGCGACGCTCCCGTTACCTGTCTACATGCGTTTTGGACGTTATTAAAGGAATAGTCGAATTCATATATTTGATAAATGGAATTTTTTGACCAATATGTATATTAAAATGTATCAAGTATACAATTACCGACCGAATGATATATAGTTTTCATACAGTTAACTGTTTCAAAATTATGAAAATAGCGCAAATGCTGTCGCAATGGAAATTTTGACTTTTTGACACCAACATCGTGCGCGAGGTTGTTATTGCGGAAGTGCGATTTCCCATAATGCATTATTTTTAAGATGTGAAAAGTTGTAAGCGGCGATTAATTAAATTAATTGTATGTCAATATTTTATAATTATTTCGAAATTTACTTTGTTCATAAGGTAGTTATAATATTTTACTTGTTTCTATTTTCTGGTGAAACATGTGTACACTTTTTCGTTGCCGTGGGAATTGGGGTATCGAGTATCGCCTGTGATTGGTTGATGATCAGGTGCGCGATGTTTCTGATTGGTGAACGTATTTTACGTAATTTCGTAGTATTTAATGACGTATCTATAGTAAGAACGCGGAGTTGCAGCGTTTGAACAGTAGGCTACACCACTGCATGTATCAAGGTGTGTGTTTAATTTAGTTCTTTAGTTTAATAGTTTAATAATATTAAGGGTGTGGGGGAAAATTTTATTCAGAGATTGAATAATATTTATTTACCAGTATATTACTGGTTTAGATTTTTAAGTTAACTGGTTTATTACCAGTTTGGGATTATACTTAGGATTACCAGGATTTTTATTAGGTCTAAGAGAGTTAGACTTGCACATGAATTATTATTACTGGATAAGACTCCAGTTATAGAGGTTTTTATTAATTTATGAAACACCAGAGATTTTGTGAATATTGGACAGTATTGCTTTCTTTCTGTGTCCCGTGAAATAAATTTATAATCTTTCAATAGAGTTCTTGACTTGTTCAGTTCACGCATCCGCACGCTACAAATACTTTGGGTCTGAAAAAGATGACAACATATTAACTGTCATAAAGATTCTGGTGCATGAAAAAAGAAAGAAAACAACTTTTAAATCTCTGTAAAGTGAAATTAAGGAATAATGAAAATTCAGATGATTTCCTTTGTACATGTACCATGATAACATGAATTCTTTCTGTACATATGAAAAATACATGATGATTTTTTAATTTCAGATACCATACCGAAGTATACACTTCAAAGAGAAAAAAGACATATTCATATATATACCTACTGCCCAGATATTCCAGAAGAATATCACGAAACTTGTAAATGTGTGTTTCATCCAGATGAACTCCAAACACTTTATTCTGAAAAGTTGAGTGGATTGTCTTTTAAATGCATGCGTGCCTTCAAGTCTTGATGTCTGCCTATCATAACAATGTACTCCAATTTATTATACCTTTACAAAAATTTGTAAATAATAAAGACATAACAAGGTGTATGTTGATTCTTTATTACTTCTTTTATCAACTAGATGCTGTCATGAGACAGTAATACCCGCACTAAGGTGTTTGCCTCTAAATGTACACTCCTTCATATTGGGCTTACCAAGGAAAAAGTCCAAATAATTCTATAATTTACACAGTACATGTATTCGTCAAATCGAGCATAAAATGCCCAGGTGACCATGTGACCCATGAGCCTCTTATAGGTATTTCCTTTACTTAATTCATTACCAGTCTGAAATAACAGAATTTAATTAATGATGTAAATTAGGTTTTGATAAAAGGGGGGATATAAATTTTTGGCCCATAATTGGAACTTTTTAAATTTATTTTCTCAACAACAAATAATATTATTTTAGTACAAAGCGTTTTTGATGAATTTATCAAAATGTGCAATTTTTTTAAGTATTTGATTAGGCAAAAACCTCCTTGAAAAGCCATACCCAATCAATTTTGTCACCCCCCCCCCCCCCAACACACACACACACACCCTCACACACACCCTCACACACACACACACACAATTTGCCTGTTTTTGGTAATAGGCCTAGATGGCAAAGTTATGTTAAAACATCGTTTGTTATGATAATTTAAAATTTGTCCTTGTACTGTATATGTATGTGAACACCTTTTTGAAAATTTCTACATCACATTGGGCTTGCGTCACCATACTAGTATTAGTACTAGTTTTACCATTATCATTTTAGATTGCACATGGTGCAGTGTGGTGTTCACATCATTGCATGTATATCAGTAGAAATTAATTCATTTTGTGTTTTAATTGGATTATATTTAATGAAGTTGACAGGACCTATGACAGTCGGTAAGTACAAGTTTAAGTATAGATTAGGGTAAAATAAACTGAAATGAAAATGGCTGGGTTAAAGTTTGAAAAGGATCAAACTTAAGATGATCGGATGCCACAATAGACGAATTTCACATTCTGAAGAGTTATCTCCCGTTGTCGACACTACATTCTGTAACAGGCACAGATCCATGATTTTTTTTTCCGGGGGGGGGGGGGGGTGTCCACACCTCGGTCAAAAAAAATTCCAGCCCAGAATTTCCCGAGGAGCAAAAAAAACAAACAAACAAACAAACAAAATAAAAACAATTATGGTGGGGTCCATGATTTTAAAGGGGGAAGGGCATCCAAAGTCATTTTTATTTGCTTCTGTAAATCAGTATGTAGTCCTATTTATATAACTCTGCAAATTCCAGGGGGGGGGGGGGGTCCAATCTCCCTAGCCGCTCCCTGTCCCTGAAGTGACAAATGATCATGTGACTCCAAAATAGTAGAAAAATTTTCCATTTGACTATGCATAATTTTGTTTCTTGTGTTATTATGTTATGTACATCTAATGGTTTAAGGTAATGAACCCCTGGAGGTCATCCCCACTCTCTTAATGAACTGGAAATGTTCACAATATGACTACATCAAATTAAATAAAAGTGCATCAATGATAAGATTGCTTGACATTTCATTCATGAATTTGAGTCAACCTATGTACCCTCCTAGAATTAGGAATGAAAATCATTCAAAGAAATGGACCATTAAACTATTTGTATATATTCACATTTTTTTATGTCAAAACAAAGTATTAGTTTGCATACATGAACAAACAGGGTTCTGGGAAGGGAAAGGGGCGAGGGGAAGGAGTTATCTCTTTACGTCTTAATTGTTGAAAACTCCTAAAATGAATGTTATCCTCAAATCCGACTTGTACGTCTTCATTATTTTTTAGCGGTGGTGTCTCCATATGAGTGAAAAATTCCCGAGAGGGACATTTAACGGCAAACAAACAAATGACTTAAAAAACGCAATATACATGTACATGTTTATTACTCAACAGATATACTTCTGGTCATATCTCTAGTTCTCCCTTGAATCAGAAATGATGACATAAATATTTTAAGAATGATTAAGATATTTGACCTATACATTACCTGTAACAAGATTTCCGAGCATGGTATGATTTTTTACTCCTTGACCTTGATGTTTTACCTAATTTTCAAAAGTTTTAACTTTGGTGATTAATTTTGAATGACATATGATAGGGCATGCATATTTGAAACAATATGCCATAATTAATGGCATCCCATCCACTAAGACATGGAAAGCAGGGGACCACAATCCTTTGAATTTGCTTGTTAGTCATTTTGATATGGAAACATCCTCATATAGTGTAGATTCAAGTTTTTAAGCCCCGCCATGAATATGGCCGAGGCATATAGTGTTTGTTATGTCCGTCTTCCGTCCTTCCATCCTTCCGTCTGTCTTTCTGTCGCGCTTTGCTTTTAGCTCTGTCCAAAGCTCAGTTTCAAAGCAACTATCCAAGATATTTTTATCAAATTTCATATGCTGATAGATATTGGAAAGACCTATGCAACTGAATCAACATTTTTTGACCTTGACCTTTCCTTTGACCTTGACCTCACTTTTCTTAAACTAGTTTTAGCTCAGTTTTAAAGATAACATTAAAGATAGTGTAATCAAACTTCATATGTTGATGCATACTGATGTAAGCTTTTCAACTGCATCAACGTTTTTGACCTTGACTTTTCCTTTGACCTTGACTTCACTTTTCTTTGATATAGTGTTTAGCTTAATTTTAATGAAATCATTCAAGTTACTGTAATCAAACTTCATATGCTGATACATACTGATGTAAGCTTTTCAACTGCGCATGCATCAACCTTTTTGACCTTGACCATTCCTTTGACCTTGACATCACTTTTCTTAAATTAGTGTCTAGATCAGTTTCGAATAAACAATTCAAGATATATTTATCAAACTTCATATGCTGATACATACTGCTGACAGCTATCAATTGCATCAACTTTTTTTTACCTTGACTTTTTCTTTGACCTTGACCTCACTTTTTTAAATTAGTGTTTATCTAGTTTCTAGATAAACCATTTATGATATTTTTTTCAAACTTCATATGCAAAAAGTAAATACATACTGATGTAAGCTTTTCAACTGCATCAACATTTTGACCTCAACCTTTCCTTTGACCCTGACCTCTTTTTTCTTAAATAAGTGTTATGTAGTTTTAAATAAATCATTCAAGATATTTTTATCAAACCTAATATGCTGATATGTATTAGTAAAGCTATTCAACTGCGTCAAAAACGTCTCACCTTGCACTTTTCTGTGACCTTGACCTCCCTTCTCTTTAATTTGTATTTTGCTTAGTTTTAAAGAAACAATTTAAGATATTTTTATGTAAGCATGCATTTATACATAATTTGGTGAGAATTTATCGTCTATATCCAACTTTTTTTTTAGATTTTAGTTTCAATTTTAAAGAAATTGTTCAAGATATTCTAATCAAACTTCATACACTCATACAAATTTTCATGTTGCATTAGTAATATAAATTCGGCGGGGCATTCATGTCCTATGGACATATTTCTAGTTTTCAAATCATGACCTCCGAGGGTAAGGTCAGGCCACAATAAGGGATTAAAGTTTTATACAGGAATAAAAGGAAAAAAATCTTCAAAATTCTTCTTTTCAAGAACAACAAGAGCATGATTAATATGGAAACATCTCAAGAAGTGTAGATTCAAGTTTGTACAAATCATGACCCTATGGGTTAGGGAGAGGTCATTTTTTTCCTGCCCCTATTTGCCATCTAATTGGAAATGCAAATTTTGAAACCATTTTACACATCCACAGGACAAAACCAATTACCTTCCAAAAGATCATGATTAAAGGCTAATGCATAAAATATAAGGGAAGTTCTGGGAACAAGGATGTATAAACATGAAATATATGGAGATAACGAACAGTATTCAAGCTCAAAAGTCCATTAATCAATACAAGATAGGAGCAGAGCAAACACGGACCTCCAAACATCAGAGGTGGGATCAGGTGCCATGGAGGAGTGAGCATCCCCTGCCGACCGGTCACACCCGCCGTGTGCTCCTTGTCATGATCGGGAAACAACGGAAAAATCCGACGACAATTCAGTGTGTAAATAATGGCCTAACAATTAGTGTGAAAAACGTCAGTCAGCATTTGACTCAATGATAAATTGTATTTGCTGACAAGGTCATTGTATCGACCATAGAACTTACGAAATGATGACTTCAAACGAGACAGCTGATATTCTTGTTTCATCAACTTATTTGTCAATAATTTACCTCGTTTTAGAAATTGTACATACGTAGAGCATGCTCTTGCGTATCGAATCAACTGAGAGATATATACCCCGTATGCAGGTGATGAAGGTATATTGCTGCATAAGTAAGGGAAGTTGACGATTGAAAAGTTAAAGTCATCACGTTTATCATAAAGCTTGGTTGTTAGATTATCATTAACGTCTTTTTCAAGTAAAATATCCAAACATGAAACAGATGTGTCAGACTCTGTGGTATCTTTTATCTCAAGTTCACAAGGATACATCGTATCGACATAAGAATGGAAATAGCCATTGTTAATTGACAATACGTCGTCGATATATCTAAATGTCGAGTTGAAGGCCACAGCAAGTGTTTTCTTCTTTTCACGTACAAGATTTTGGACAAATTCTGCTTCATATGAATACAAAAAAAAGTCTGCTAATAACGGGGCGCAATTGGTACCCATGGGAATTCCAATAGATTGTTGGAAGACCTGGTCTCCAAAAACCACATAGATATTGTCAATCAGAAACTCAAGCATCTTTTTGATGTCAACTTCAGAGTACTTGTGTGAACAATCAGAATGTTTTTTTAACAAAATAATTTTGCAAATGACCAATGACAAGGTAAGTATATTTACGAGTTCCATTTTTATTGAAAAAGCAGCTGTCAATGATACCAAAAAGCCTGGACTTTAATTTATCGTGGGGAATGGCTGTGTACAAAGATGAAAAATCGTAAGTTTTTAAGCTGTTGATTTTGGTAAAATCTTGTGATTTCAAATGTTATATATTTTTTAAAAAAGAATTGACCCCATTTGACCCCAAGGGTGAAATTAAAAATTCCGAAACCTTAATGCACATCTACAGGACACCACTAACCATCTCCCAAAAGATGATTAGGCTACTGTGTAAAATGTAAGAGGAGTTCTGGGAACCAGGGGCTTTTGGCATAAAAAAAACGTCATTTTTCGACCCCCATTTGATCCCCAGGGTGAAATTGAAAATTCCGAAACCTTACTGCACATCTACATGACACCACCAACTATTTCCCAAAAGATGATTAGGCTACTGTGTAAAATGTAAGAGGAGTTCTGGAAACCAGGGGCTTTTTGCATAAAAAAAACGTCATTTTTCGACCCCCAATTGATCCCCAGGGTGAAAATGAAAATTCCGAAACCTTACTGCACATCTACATGACACCACCAACCATCTTCCAAAAGATGATTAGGCTAAACTGTGAAATGTAAGCGGAGTTCAGGGAACCAGTGGCATTTTGCATTAAAAAACGTCATTTTTTGACCCCCATTTGACCCCCAGGGTGAAATCAAAAATTCCGAAACCTTACTGCACATCTCCATGACACCACCAACCATCTCCCAAAAGATGATTAGGCTACTGTGTAAAATGTAAGAGGAGTTTAAGAAAGAAAAGTGTGACAGACGGACGAACGGACAGACGGACGGACGGACATGAGTAACAACAATATACCCGAACTTTCTTTAGAAAGTGCGGGTATAATAATAGCATCCATTAATTTAAAGGAAAGATGCGCTTATTTTATGAGGAAAACTTTGTTTCTGCTATTTGAGTTGGGTTAGCTAGAAAATAATTAGATCGGGGTCGGAATATCTCAAATTCCTCCTCTTTGCCCTGGATCCAAAAACGAAAGGTACGCGAATTTTGTAGCAGACTGAATTTTGAAAAAAATATACTTTCAATCACAGTTTTTCTAAAATAATTTCATAAAATATCGTCGACAAATATCAGATTTGATGATCAAACGCATTGATGGATTATTCTTTTACGGGGTAATGCACGATTGGCTTGGATTGAAAAGTTTCCATGTTAGCATGTGGCGTGATCGCGTGATCTTTATTGAAACTTTGTTGTTTTACATGCAAACATATTTCAGGAAAATTTATGAATTCGCGTTTTCACATTTTAAGATCGTGCATTATATTTATTTAAAAAAAGGCCGTCTTTACTAAAAAATAAAAAAAAAATGTAGTAAAAACGGGGGGGGGGGTATAGAGGCATCAAAACATTATAATGATCGTTTGTCAATTTTCACAGCATTAAAATTGAACATTCTTATTTTATACAAGGGAATTTTAAAATAAATGAATTTTTTCAGATAAGAGCATCTAGAAATGTTGAAAGGGGGGGGGGGGGGGTTGGAAGCAACGTTTTAACTTTCCAGCTTTAATGATTAACATGGTAAATCCAATATTGTAGGGATAATGTTTACCATAAATTAGGCTTATGTGTTATTTATGCATTTATGACTTGTGTTCGGGTCTTTAATATTGGCCTCCACATTAAACAATAGAATCAATCAACGGGACAAAGCCAACGCTTTATTTCTTGCATATTTTAACCTCAAATGTAAACTGAAAATAAAATTACGAGCTTCTTAAGTTTGTAGTTGCCCCTTGGCTCCTACCCATACTAGTAAGTTTTATCAAATTCAATTCAAATGCTACCAAATGTAGCTCAGTTGCTCGTTGAGATCTAATGAATTTTCCTCGGTGTATGTCATACTATAAATTTAACACTGTGCAATCTGAATCTGCAATCTGACGGCCTCATGCGTCCTACGGGGCACAGAGAGGATAAGTAAGTAAGTAATCTGAATCAAGGGCAAGGGTATTTTACTTTAGCATTGTAAGGACATCACCTAGGTTATGCCCCAATATTGATTCACCTAATCATTTGACTCTTTTGTCTTGCACTTGCACTCCGCCTAACTACACAAGTAAACAAGAATTTGAATTTGCCATTTTTGGGGGGTTTGGGGAAATTAGGGAGACTTGTTACTTAAGGAAACTAAGACATAATAATTCTATAATTTACACAAAATAATTAAATACATGTATTTGTCGAACCGAGTATAAATTGATCTGGTGAACATATGTCCCAATGACCTCTTATGTAAGCAATTCATATACCGGTACTAAATTCATTACAAGTCTGAAATTACAGAATTAAATGATGTAAATTCTGTTTAAAAAAGAATTTTTAAAGAAGCATTTTGTATATTAAAAAAAATCAAGCTGTGTTTGTGAAACACTGATGCCCCCGTATGGCAGCGCATGGCGAAGGTAAAAGTTTCTAAAATGCAAGTGAAACTTTAAGGTCAAGAGATCTAAAATGTTGATACCCAAATAAAAGTCTTGTTACAAGGAATACACGTACCGTTAAATATGAGGGCCCTAGTACCAACCGTGCAAAAGTCATGGCAAAGGTTAAAGTTTTTCAAAAGTAGATCAAGATCAATGGGTCAAAATTAAATGTGCCCTAAGGAAGATCTTGTCACACGAAATACACATGTGAAATAAAGCCCTAGCACCATCCATTCAAAAGGTTTTGTCAAGGTTAAAGTTTTTTCAAAAGTAGGCCAAACTCCAAGGTAGAGGACAAAAGGTCAAATGTTTTGGTTTGGTACCCAAGGGAACATCTTGTCACAAGAAATACACATGTGAAATATAAAAGCCCTAGCACCAACCTTTAAAAGTAGGTAAAACTCCAAGGTCAAAGGGTCAATATTTTTGTAAACAAGGGAAGATCTTGTCACAAGGAAAACACTTGTGAAATATGAAATCCCTCTTACTAATCATTCAAAGGTTTATGGCAAAGGATAAGATTTTCAAAAGTAGGTCAAATTCAAAGGTCAAGGTCAAAGGGTCAAAATACTTTGTACCCAAGGGAAGGTCTTGTCAGGGGAATACACAGGTGTATAATAAAAGCACTATCTCCAACCATTCAAAACTTTTTGCGAACGTTAGAGTTCTGGCAAACCAGGGTATTTTTGTGGAAAAAAACGTAATTTTTCGACCAGCATTTGACTCCTATGGTGAAAATGAAAATTCCAAACCTTATTGCACATTTACAGTTCACCACAATTCATCTTCCAAAAGATGATTTGGCTACTGCTGAAAATGTAAGAAGAGTTCAGGGAACCAGGGTTTTTTGTAGATAAAAAAGACATCATTTTTCGACCGCCATTTGACACCAGGGTGAAAATAAAAAATCCGAAACCTCATTGCACATCTAGAGGACACCACCGATCATCTTCCAAAAGATAATCTGGCTACTTGCATAAAATGTAAGAGGAATTCTAAGAACCAGATTTATTTTTTAAAAATGTCATTTTTAACCCCCATTTGACCCCCAGGGTGAATATAAAAATTCTAAAACCTTATTGCACACCTACAAGACTTGACTATTGGGTAAAATGTAAGAGGAGTTCAGGGAACCAGTTTTTTTTTTTTTTTTTTTTTTTTTTAAGAAAAAAACATCATTGTTTGACACTCGTTTGGTCCCCAGGGTAAAATTAAAAATTCCAAAACCTTATTGCACATCTACAGGACACCATCTATCATATTATAAAAGACTAATTGCATGGCTACTGCTTAAAATAAAAGAGAAGTTTGAGGAAGAAGAAAGTGTGACAGGCGAACGGACGGACCAGGGTAACAACAATATATCCGAACTTTCTTTAGATTGATTGATTGTATGTTGTTTAACGTCCCTCTCGAGAATTTTTCACTCATATGGAGACGCCACCATAGCCGGTGGAGAGCTGCAAATTTTGACCTAAACTCGGCACTTACGGCCATTGAGCAGTGAGGGATCTTTTCCGTGCCAGCACCTACTGCGACACGGGACCTCGGTTTATACGGTCTCATACGAAGGACCGGTCTCCACGTCCCACAGTGGGATTCGAACCCGCGACGTAAGGATCAACTCCTTACTTCGCGACTCTAGAGCAGACGCTCTAACCACTGTGCTACGCGGGCGAAAAACTTTCTTTAGAAAGTGCGGATATAATTAATGGATATTGAAAACAATTAGAATGTCTCCAATATATAATAATGTACATACTATAAGACAAAAGATCTGTAACCCCCCCCCCCCCATACACACACACACACACACACACACACACACAACTTAAAAAAAACAACATAAGTACGATGAAAAAACTTGCATACTTATTTGCATCAGTATCTACATATTGTAAGTATAAATCCCTGATATATTTATGTACATTCATATTTTATAAAACATGCATTGAAAAGCAGAGGAAATTCTTGTCGATACAATCAAACTACTTACCATCTTTAAAAGTAAATTTGCCATGACTTTTGTCAGTTGATCAAATTAACGGTAAGTTATTGGAATTAAAAATAGAATCTTTAGAGTAGTAAAATACTTTTACGGGGAGCCTTTAATTCTTTAAATAAATGATTTACGGTACGATATTGGACTCACAGCGCCAACATAATTCTAGAGAAATGGCTCTAAAGAAAACTTCAAAAGACATACATTTAATTAATTTCTAAGTATTTCAATAACTTTAACAAATGCTCAAAGCAATTATATAATTACATGGAAGTGTGAAAATAAATTATTTTCTTTGTTCCTTCATGCATAAATCCATCGAGGATCTAGGAGATAAGAATATAATTCGTAGTACAAGGTGAAGCAAGACAACGTGCACTAAATTAAGAGATGATTAAGTGCTCTGAATTAAAAATTTAAAGACGGTAGATTTGTTTGATTAAAATTTCAGATAGAGAAATTTCATGTTCTGATTTTCTGATCGTCGAAGATTTTACTGTGTCGCAAAATTTTTACTGTGGCGCACGCATAAAATTTTATTCATTGCTACTGTGTCGGAGGAAATTTTACTGTGTCGAGGCCGACACAGTTAAACAGCTCATGGAGAACCCTATACCAAAAAAAGTCATTGTCACTATAATTAAAAGGTGTATTAATTGGTACGCTTTCTTTTTTCCTAATAGTTTTTTTACTTGAAATAAAATGATAAAAATGTCAGTTTTCTTTCTTTTTCTTTCTTAGACATGTATGGGGCACGTATGCGTACGACTCATTCTTAGCACTTGAAACAGATCTTTGCATGTACATGTAGGTATGGTATAAAATAAGGAAAAGAACAACTTACCGACTTGCTATGTATTTAACAATTGAAGCTGTAAATAACATATTCCTGCACCAGACCATGTCAATATCCGTTTCAAGAGGAAATATGTGACCTCAATGTCCACAACTTGTACTGCATTAAATTTGAACTATTTTCTTTTATTTTATGATAAAACCAATTAAAATATTTAAACATAAAGCAATACTTATATTAATGACAAAAACACACTGAATTATTTTCTTTTAATTTTTAAAGATTTTTTTTTTTGAATTTTTACTTGGAAAGAACGACTACTCCCTCCATAAACTTGTTTCCTGCCTCGTGATCTTGAAGCTAATGGACGAGTTTACCATGTTAAATCCACATAGACTTTGAATGTGCCGCCGTTTCAATACACCGGCTGAACTCGAGGGTTCGTTTAAAATGATCTATCGATAGAACCTAGTTTGAAGGCCAAGGTATTTATACATTTTGAGATATGATGCGAAAAGTGAGGTCCTTAATTGGTACCGTGGACAGACTATAGTAAAGATAGTTTATTACCTGCCCAGTGGCTAGTTGACACATCTCCAAAGCCAGCCTTATATTCTTGCCAATTTCTGTTGAAATTCACCTTACCGTCAACTCTATTCTGTATTACCTACATTTAATATTTAAAACGAAAATCTTAGTGCATATACGTATATATCTTTGTATTACCTAATTAAACTGTATTTATAAAATTTAGATCCAAATATTACCAAAGATTAAGTCCATTTTGTATAATTTTAGTCAAGTTGCTCTTGATTGAAGGATTAACTGCTAAAAAAAGATATGCATTGCAAGACATTGTTGTAAACGCTGTTCACAATGCTGAGTCGCTAAAACACAAACATGTTAAATATGATCATAGTATCAGCAGAGTTTATTTAGTATTATCATATTATCAGCACAGTATATTTATATTATCATAGTATCAGCACAGTTTATTTATATTATCATAGTATCAGCAGAGTTTAAACTTAGGTTCTTTTACTCACTGTCCATCCTCCTCCAGACGTTACCATATCGCAAAAGACTTCTACTGATTTATCACTGAGTCCATCCCATGGATAAATACTGTAGACACCTGACGTTCTCCTACCCATATCATGCAGTTCCTTGCAGTCTTTGGGTGAATGTGTTATCATCATTTGGATAAACAGGTCAGATGTTAATCATTAAGCTATCTTCAGCTGCATTTATACAATTAACTTTTAAAGCTTTATGTAAAACAAACGAACTTACCTGATGGGTGCTGTTGTTCGTTAGAGACATTTTGGGCGAAATGAATTTCATCCAGTATAAGGGAAAATTCTCGCTCCAGGTTTTCATTGTTTCTATTGAACGGTTGTTGCGATCACTCAATAAGTACAAATTATTTAAAGTCTGCTTCATATCTACGTTTTCATACTCCATTTGACGGCTCTTTACTTTAAGGGTCTGTAATTCTTTTGTTACGTCACTTAGTTTCTTTTTCAAAAATTCAACATCATTTTTGTTATCTGTAACATCCAACATCAAACTCTGGATTTTCTGTACCATTGAAAACCGAACTAAGCTCTCCTGGTTCAAGATATCACGTAAAACATTTGATACTTTATCAGATGTAGTACTAGCCAATTCATTTGTTGCTTCCAAAGCTTTGTTTTTTGAAGTCAGTTGACCACATGTCTCATAAATAGAGAGAAGTAAATAAATCACTTGTATAGTTTTCATCTCTTTTGTACTCTCGTTTTTAATTTATAACTTCTCTGGTTTGACTAAGATCTTCATTCAGTCGATGTATTTATATAATAAATTATTTAGGCAGGCACTTGACATTTCCTTGTTCAAATCTTAATTTATGAAATTATTTTTCTAGAGAGGTTCTTAACAACTTAAGTACTTATACTTAGTAAAATAAAAATGTCAGCTTTCTGGATCAAGAATCACTTAACAAATGCAAGTGCTTATGTGGTTCGGGCTTCACATTAATTATGTTGCCATTTTATTCGAGATGTTTTAGAGATTTCTAGGGTTATTAGACTTCTTATATAGCTTCAAGAATCTTGGTGTTGTTGAATTGTTTAAGCGAGTACAAGTGATTACGTTATTTGGTGAAGGTTTTCAGCTGGTACTTTCATTTTAATATCAAAAAGTTTCTGATATTTCGAAATGTTTGCATTCAAAGGGTTTGGTTTGCTCGAGTACTTATGCCTAGTACTTTCAAGAACTTTTCTGTAATTGAAATCACTTAACAGCCATTCTCTGTAATGACTTGAACAGATTTTCCCTCAACTCTCTATGATGAAAGTCTTTGATATCATATATGTATATTAGCAAAATTGGATTGTTATGGGTCATGTTAACCATGGCAACATAAGTTAAAGTTTGAAAAATAGCATTTTAGATATGATCAGTTTTCACTTACTAACGTTTGCAGCAATGCAGAAAACTAACATTGACTATTTCTACAAGTTATGATGTTTTATATGCTTGATGAAAATTTTTGGGAAACCAAGAATAACATACATTACTATGGAAATAATATATTGAAAAGTAATAATTTCATAAAATTATTTTGATAAAATCATACAATCAAAAAATTAAAAGCAATTATGGGTTAAAAATGCAACCAAATAATACAGAAAGGTCATTGTGATATATTCTAAAATATGATGTTTCTTATTGGCAATGGTTGCCACAGAGGAATTTCAAATTGACTCTGTATTTCATTTTGTATGTTCCTATCTTTTTTTACAGAACATAATTCTATATAGCTAGAGAGCAACTTTTAAGGTGTGGTCCTCATTTCCACATTTCAAATTTCAAATTTAACTCATGAAATGGAGCGTTGCTGTGGAAATAATGGGAGTGAATATGTGTTAACAACCAAAATGAATTTGAATTACCATATTTATATTGGATTCCGAAACTTCATAAAAATCCTTACAAGCAAAGGTACATAGCGGGTTCCAGTAAATGTTCAACCAAGCCTCTATCTTTACTCCTCACTAAGATATTAACAGTGGTGAAGGAGAAACTTCAAGAGTACTGTGCAACAATATATTCGAGAAGTGGTGTAAATCAGATGTGGATACTTAAAAATTCCAAGGTGGAAAATTTGAAATCACAAGATTTTACCAAAATCAACAGCTTAAAAACTTACGACTTTTCAACTTTGTACACAACCATTCCCCACGATAAATTAAAGTCCAGGCTTTTTGATATCATTGACAGCTGCTTTTTCAATAAAAATGGAACTCGTAAATATACATACCTTGTCACTGGTCATTTGCAAAATTATTTTGTTAAAAAACATTCTGATTGTTCACACAAGTACTCTGAAGTTGACATTAAAAAGATGCTTGAGTTTCTGATTGACAATATCTATGTAGTTTTCGGAGATCAGGTCTTCCAACAATCTATTGGAATTCCCATGGGTACCAATTGCGCCCCGTTATTAGGAGACCTTTTTTTGTATTCATATGAAGCAGAAATCCAAAATCTTGTACGTGAAAAGAAGAAAACACTTGCTGTGGCCTTCAACTCGACATTTAGATATATCGACGACGTATTGTCAATTAACAATGGCCATTTCCATTCTTATGTCGATACGATATATCCTTGTGAACTTGAGATAAAAGATACCACAGAGTCTGACACATCTGTTTCATGTTTGGATATTTTACTTGAAAAAGACGTTAATGATAATCTAACAACCAAGCTTTATGATAAACGTGATGACTTTAACTTTTCAATCGTCAACTTCCCTTACTTATGCAGCAATATACCTTCATCACCTGCATACGGGGTATATATCTCTCAGTTGATTCGATACGCAAGAGCATGCTCTACGTATGTACAATTTCTAAAACGAGGTAAATTACTGACAAATAAGTTGATGAAACAAGAATATCAGCTGTCTCGTTTGAAGTCATCATTTCGTAAGTTCTATGGTCGATACAATGACCTTGTCAGCAAATACAATTTGTCATTGAGTCAAATGCTGACTGACGTTTTTCACACTAATTGTTAGGCCATTATTTACACACTGAATTGTCGACGGATTTTTCCGTTATTTCCCGATCATGACAAGGAGCAGACGGCGGGTGTGACCGGTCGGCAGGGGATGCTCACTCCTCCATGGCACCTGATCCCACCTCTGATGTTTGGAGGTCCGTGTTTGCTCTGCTCCTATTTTGTATTGATTAATGGACTTTTGAGCTTGAATACTGTTCGTTATCTCCATATATTTCATGAAAGATTCCCATCAATATCTGATTTAAACTCCAGTTCCATCAGAAAAGTACAATTCATTTCAGTTATATGTCTTAAATAAATGCAACTGAATTTCCGAATCAGCAAAACATTATAAACTTTAAAACAATGGTATGTTAAATTGTCTCTCGTTAAGATAGCAACATAATCAAAATTTAGCAACAAATTTTGTGTGACTTCACTGTGTTACGATGGTAACCATGAAAGTTATTTAAGAATGATATTACAAGTACCTTATTACGAAAGGTCGACTATTTTTATTGCTTTTTCTTGTGTTGGTGATTGAGTTAGGTCGTGTACATCTCTCATTAGTGAAAATTGATTGTTTTCAGGTTGTATTTTTCAACATTTGAAATGTATTTCAGATGGTTACCACTTACTTAGCGATAATCTAAATAATTTCTTTACAGCGTAAGTGGCAGCAAGTTGTAATTTTCTGAAGAGAGGGGTTTGCAAAGTTTTCCTTTTAATGGCTCATTAAAGATTCAAAGTGACTGAAATTTTCAATTTTCAAATTATCCCTTGACTTCATGACACATAGCAACTAAATTTGGTTTGATTTATGTTAATGGTGTCCAGTTGTAAAAATGAGGAAACAGTTGACCAAAATCGGTGATCCTGTGTGCCAAACAAGATGCCCAAGGCCCGGAATGCTCACCTAAGTAACTTTAGTCCTGCCTTTCTTCAGATTTCCAAAAAAAAGTTTATATTCCCATGAAAAATTGTTACCTCATATTATTAACCCAATCTCTAAGGGTCTCCGAATCCGCACAGCATAGGGTTGTTTCAATATCATAATGAGTAACTTGGCCCTGCAGTTACTGAGAAGAAAATTCACTGTTTACACCACTCTAACCCATGGGGCATTATTTGAAAAAAAAAAAATGAATCCACTCATCTTCGGAATGTTTGCATATTTGTGGCGCGATTGTCGTTCTTAAGGTTTTCAAAATTTATTTCCCATTAAGTCCAAGTTCAACTTTGAACATTTTAAAGATTTATTTTTGCATGTTTACTTTAATGTAAAACGTTTATCCCCTATTGTTACTCCACCCTACATCCCAGGGGCCATGATCTGTGCAATTTAGAATCTACAACACCTCAAGACCTACACCTACAATAAGTTTCATGTCTTCTGGCTTAGTGGTCTTGGAGAAAAGGATTTTAAAAGACTTTTTCCTATGTATTTCAATGAATAATTTGATCCAATATTGTGGTCCAACTCTACCCTTGGGATCATGATACGAATAATTTAGAATTAACCATGTGCTCATCTGCAATTGAATTTTTTTAAGTGAAGACATATCTGTTCAACTTACATTTGAGTGAATATATTTTTAAATCAGTGATTTTAACAGTATACAAACATGTAATTTTTGGACACATAGCAAAAGTATCTTAGAATTTGACTAAGGGAAACTGTGTGATGTTTTAGATACTTTTGGTACATTTTCATTCAAAACAAAATTCAAACCAAAAGAAAAAAAAATTAATCATCTATTGTATATAGCAAACAAAAGTGGAGATACAAGCAATTTTAACCTAAGTTACAAGTAAAACTTCCATTAAATCCCAAAAACCGCAAAGAAATGGAGAAAAAAATCTTGATCATGCAGAAGTGCAATTTATCTATGTGCTTTATACATGTACCATCAAATCTGTTCGAACAAATAGTTGTCCAAGCAAATACACAGTTCGTCTTTACGATTCAAAAACAATGTAATGTAATCTACTTTCTTCTTGGTGTATTTAATTTGTACGAAGGATTTTTTTGTCCACCCTAATATCTTGTTCATCCGAACGAAAAACAAACATTTCTGAACCATTACCTTATATTTCCCTAAACAATTAAAAACAATTTTTTGGGCTTCAAAGGCATCTTACTATTGAAGTATATTCAGTATTTATAAAAGTTATGGCCTTTTTAGTTTTTTGAAAATTTGTTAAAGTTATTAAGATTCTAAAATTACAAAATGTTTAACGCAAAATTTAAACATTGAAAAAAAAATTTGCTGACAAGATCATTGTGTTGACCCAGGAATTTTCGAAATGCTGACTTTGATTGAGACTGTTGAGCGCCCTAAAGCATCATCTTATTTGCCAGTATCCTGCCTGTTTAAAAGTTCATTGTATACAGAGCATGTTCTAGCGTACTCAATAAGTAAGAGAATTACACACCATATGCATGCAGGTTATTGTAGATTTTACTACATAAATACATGTAAGAAGTGGCCTTTTCGAAAATCATCCCGTTTGTCAATAGTTAAGTTCTTAGTTGGCAATAAACCTTTGTAAATAATTAGTAAAATATCAAAATATGAAACAAATAAAAGAGAAAGATTACGCTGACACTTTTAACCAATAGGCACCTATGGTGCAATTTTTATTGTGTGCTAAAAACTCAGTAAGTGAAATATTTTATCTGAAGATACCACTAATTAAGCTTATATGTCCATCGGAACATTACACT